AATCAAGCACGCTTGCCATCATGTCATCATTGCAAAGTACATCGACAACATAGATTTGGTGCCGACTATGTATGATGTAGAGTGTGCTCTATGTATCTATACTACTGATTGGCCTACATTGTACTTATGTGGGCTGAGAGTAATCGATTGTGCTATATGGCAGTTTACTTGTATGTCATAGATGTTAACATTGCACACAGCTTCTGAAATGCTTTCTGTTGCACTGGCCTACTGCGGCCCACTGCAAATAGATTGTAGTGGCATGGGCCATGCCATAATTATAGTAGTATACCGGTACTACACCAACAATTTCACTGGTGCACTGTACTTACTGGTACGAGTAGATCTACATCATGCACAGCCTTGTCACTGCTTTTCTCATTTTTTATTAATTTACTGTACTGTACACATTTTGGCACAGCTCTTCCACAAAGAGTTACTAGTATTTTCTTCTGCATACCTACTGTATACAGTGACCTGACTGGTAACATCTATGGCTGTGAAATCACAAATTTCTGGGTTGACAGCCTCGAACCTATACGATTTGTTTCTAAGAACGTGCTATAAGAAATTTTCTATTGAAGTATTCTACTGTAGCTCGCAGGACATGGAGTGCAATTACGTAAAGTTTGGAACACCACTCTTCTGTGATTTGGATGTCAAATTATGAAATTCAGTGTGTGAGGTAAACCCATGCATGGCATACACTGCTATAGTATGACTCGAGGTAAAGTGTTCCAACGCATACTCATTATAGTGAATAGTTGTGTGACCAACGTTGTTGCTGCTGGATAAATAGTACATATTCTGAGATAACTGAAGCTACACAGCCATCTAATGTTCAGACATGCATCGAAGGGGCCGTAACGAGATCTGCAAGGCATGATTCTATACCTGTATTTGATGCTCTCTAGCCTAGGACATTCACCTGCCTCATTTTCTCTGTGCTGCATTGATGAGTCCATTAGTAACTAAAGGACGAAACAGCATGCTGTCTGCAGATTGGTAATTGTGTAAAGACAGACGTGTATGTAGTGGTAAAGCTCAGATACATGTGCAACGTAACAATCCCGGTGTTTGACAACAGCACAAACCTACACCGCAATTCTTAATTTTGGGCTGTGGTGTTCTTAGTATTCCAGGTTGGATGTTCTGTAGGCTTCCACGTTCTTGGGCGCACGACTTTACTGTGCCGAAGAATATTTTCAGCCAATGAACCCAGAGCTTGGTGGCAGATGAGTGCCATGGAACAGCCTTTTGCATGTGGCTTTCACTACATGCACATGTATAACGTTCAATTGATGCGGAAAAATCAGACGAGGACTTTTGCAGTTATGAGCAAGGTCCCCACGAATGGTCATGTCACTTCACAGAATACATGAACTGATAGAGTAGACCTCGGTCCCCTCAGAGAACGCTTGGGGAAGTCGGGTTCAACCATAGATTTATACTTAACAGAGAACGCTTGGGGAAGTAGGTTTCAACCATAGATTTATACTTAATATTCTTTACAACAAGGATCGATGTGTTCCTTCGGATGCCCTTTATCGACTTTCACGCACTTCTCCTCTCTCCTTTCGTCATAAGCACCATCTCTGTACACTGGTTCATAAAATATTTCTTCATAAAACCCCTTCACACATAATGAAGTACAATTGGTTTTCGACAAGCTCAACCCGTAACGCGCTTATCCTGCCTCTTGTTAAGTCAGCCCGGTATCTAAAGCCCCCCTTGTTTTCCGGTTATTCTCATTGGTTAACTGGGGACATGTCCAAAACCATACTAAGTACTTGAGCTGCTCATGAGCCCCACAATTATCAGGCCCGCCGGTCTGGTTGGTCAGGTTATCACCAGACCAACTTGTTGGCCACCAACAAACGTTTCCTACCGTGGAGGACGTGTGTACCCGCCATGAAACTACCGGACCAATCAAAAACTGCTTCCGGCGGTACTGATTATAGTACAGGTTTAAGTTAAAAAGCGGCTCCATTTTGTCATACATTAAACCAACTCTGTCATTGCTATGCTACTCAAAAAGAGTAGTGATGTTTATTCACAAATGAATCACAATGCTATCAGAGAAATTCGATATTCTCCAATTTTAGGGGCACTGCAATACTATCCAAAATTAATGCTGCATGGTCATTGTTATGAAGCAGTCACCTCAGTACAGCAATTAAACAGGCTGATTATGTGAACGAGATTCACGGCAAATCTTCTTCCATCAGTGCTGTTCAGTCTTGAGTGGTCCACTGAGACAGGAAAACAACCTGTTCGGTCCTTCCATACGAGAAACAGAAATTGAACATGTTCCAGGGTGGAGGTGGCGAGTATCGGCAATGTAATGCACCTTTAGGCCAACATGACCATCATTCCGACATGGATTTTCAAACACCTTCGCTCGTGAGAGTGCCTCAGAGTGGTATTCATCAACAGATGGCAATCCTGTAAAACACATGAAAAGACATAGCAGCAACAGAAAGAAACCTAATGTTATAGAAACGAATTCGAAAAACAAAGTCTACTATTATTCTAATACAGTGAACCAAGGTACAACCACACTCCAGGAGGCAAGCAAAAGAGCATATAATCCGAAGGTTGCGATGCCTGTATGTATTGTATTTATGTATTTACGGATTCTCCACAGGCTAAATCGAGGGAGTCTTTGTCATGCCACACTGGATACAACATGCTACCAGAATCACTTTCCCCAGAATTGATGATCTTTTCTTAGGGTGTTATATAAGACACATCTGTAGCCACTTCATCTTGCTCACGAAATCATACACCACCACACAAACGGGTCCTTCGGCTATTATACTTTGGGTGGTACATGGTGATGTATGATATTGATAATCTATTGATACCATATTCAAGTCTGACTCTCACCGTGAGATCCTGGCAACAATATTACCTGGTACACGACATATTCAGACACTGACATAAGCATCTTTTTGGAACAACAGGTGTGCCTATCTGCTAGTGTAATGTGACACACATGCAGAACACATGCAGAATCAGTCATAGCTAATTTTACCCCCTCACTGTTGTATGCGCAGACTCCACTTCGCGGTGTCAAGTACTCTTCTTTCGGTGGGCTACTCCACTAAGGCGCTTGTCTTAAAGGACTCACATTCATCCTGCAAACCAACACGACTTGCATAGTTTTCACTGTCGGCCAAAGTGCGTGCATTGCACACATTGAGATTCACTCCCTCCGTACAGGCCAGTACAGAGCTGCCCACCAATTGAGTCTGTTTTGCGTACTCAGACTTCTGATTTTCCGTATCTTGCAGTGTTTTGCGTACTGCCGTGTACATTGCATGCATACTTGCACTGTAATGTTTTTTGACACGCACATGCATGTCGGTGGCTGCATTTGGTAGTGTAAAACATGTGTGACTTGCACTCACGACATTATTATTTTTGTGCTACATGTACATGTTGTTGTGGTACGGCATGCACTCGCTTTGGTACAAGACTATTCATCACTCAGCTTACACTTGCAATGCTTCTACACAGCTGATTGATCCTCTCCGATTTTCTATACCATTTCCTCAATTTCTGTAGTGCGCACAAGGAGTGATTTTCCGTACAAATACAGAAAATATGGAGGGCTGGTACTTGGTAGCACTGCTAGTATGGTAGTACCAGGCTAAGCTGGCTGGAAGATCAAATACTTCTTTGGTTCTTTCAGTCATTTTCACGACATATGTTTTCTTTATCATGATCCCCGGGGTGTGACATTCTTATGAATGCAGAAACTCAGTCTTTCTAACCGAGTCTCACGTGCAATGTGAATTTGTTCTTCTTTTCTTCACAATGCCATGTATCGATTCATCGCTTCTTCCCACCCGAGATCCTATGCAACAGCGATTTAAAGATTGGCTTTATCAAATAGTTAATTCACAGAGAGAGGATCAGTTGTGGATGCTGTGACAGCATAGAGTGTAGATTGGTGTAAACATCATTGCCCAGCAGAACCGTATTCACAGGGATCTGCGTTTAGCATATGGAAGCTATTTTTTTAGAATTTGTACACGTCCAATAAGCCTGAAGAGAAGAACACCTAACTTAGACTGTCCTAACGTTATCGAACGCACTGCCAAAGTAAAAACAACATTTGAAATGCAAACTCGATTGTGCATGCATGGAGGCGCATGGGGAAGAGACTGAGAGGGTGAAAGTGAAGGAAATTTGTTCCGAAATCAAGAGAATCCGAGGAACCCTTGCTGCATTCTTCAGTTCGATAACGTCAGTGGGTGAATCTCAGATGTGTTGTGTGCCCAGACATACAAGTACAGCACCAACCTGAGCATGAGAGCTGCTTGTCATCATCGTGGTCAGGAAAACGAAAGGACGAACGAGGAAGATTGCTGACCATGCATGACGAACAACTGCATATCTAGATGACAGACGGCTTGCCAGAATCAGTCTGGTGTATCTTCAGGAATCTTCTTTCCTAATCGCATTCAGCAGTCAGCTTCGAGGTCAAGATTACAAACGACAAGAACGCGATGATATTTTCAGAAGGAATAATTTTCAAAAATTTTTAATTTTGGAGAAGAAGCTTCCTTTCTAAAAAAAAAGCGTTCCTTGCTTTCACGCAAGGAGGTGCCTTGCCGGACATGTCGTCGACAGCACAGTGTCGGCAGATCCACGTTTGTAGGCTGCAGACCCGGCAGACGTTTTGATCATCCCGGCCTGGTGGTGAGATTTTGGACCCGGGAGTACTAAAAAGCTGCTCGCATCCCAGGGTGCTCAGTTTCGCTCTACCCGCGCGAGTAGGGGTCCAGGTAACGGGCTCTCTTTCGCGGCCTGCCGAGCATAATATACCTCCCGGTCCGGCTCCGATCCTATCACTTTTTCCAAGAGTAGACCTACGAGTCGTACATAAACTAATCTATCTTGCTTTTTCTGATAGCTATGATCGCCATGATCACATGACGCGTCGGCGACGCCGGCGGCGGCTTTCTCAGTTTCTGGACTTCCTTTTTTTAATTCTCATTCTGATCAGGGCTGCGTTTGATTTTTGAGTTGTTGAGCTTGGATTATCATGACATGATTATGTGAGAGGAGGAAATTGCATTGTAGTTCTCATTCTGACAGCTCACAGTTACAAACTATTCTCATGATCTGAGGACGAATTTCAGTTTGCAGGGGTCCTGCACAACAACTACTCCTGATGGTCAGTCCGTGTATGCCTGGCAAGCTAATTATTTAGATTTAGCTCCATGCATTTGTTGAACTCAACCCATGTTTGTAATCGTAACCCTTGCCTCTGTTTTCGCCGTTGACATGAAAGGCCTTTTGGCATGGACGGGTAAACATCATGGATTTCGCAATTATTTGCTAATGGAGACTCCTAGCATCTATGCTGCCCACCCGGCCGTATAACCTGTGGGAGTGCAAGTGTGTCGATCACTCTGGTTGATATGGCTAGCAGAGATTCCATCCTGAGTACATTTGTCCAGCGTTCTGGAGCGGAACCTGGCTTGGCGAGGGACATATTAGATGCTTCCAACTGGGATGTCAGTGCTGGTTTGGAGACGTATTGGAATTTAGTACCTGTTGAGGAGCGGATGAAATCTCCTGAGTATGCTGCTAAATCTGGCTCTAACTCATCTGCGGGCGGCGAGTCCAGAGATGCACATGCTAATAGATTGCAGGAGCGTAGACTACGCTCCCTTTCAACGTTTAACCAGAGCATTGTGTCGGCGGTTAGTGCCAAGCTAGAGACTGGCACACGCATTGTAACCGACATTGAGCGGCGCCTGTCCCTGTCTAATCCGGCACCTGGCCAGTCCAAGCCAGATGCGGACTGCACCGAGCAGCAGCCACAGTCGTCAACCAATAAACTTGAGTTCTCCAATATGACCATGATGCTGCCAGACTTTCGATCTCTGCCGAATGTCTTTGTGGAGTTCATAGAGGAAGAGCTATTGGACAAAATGATGTTATCGGCATTGGAGTCGTCTGGTAAGCCATCCGTTGTAATACAGCATACATAGACCTCATTTTGGCGCCAGTGTGAGTATGCCTCAGCTCCCTTCTTCCTGCATCATGACTCTGTATGCTTAGTTCAGACGCATGTGTATAATGTCACTGGTGTGTGTCAAACTGGACGTGAAATCCTCTCCACTTCTTTCCTGCATCATGTTCGTTGAGGTCCTTACACTCAATCATCTGTTACACATTGATCGCCTAGAGAGTCTCTGGAGTTATAGCTAATCCCCCCCCCCCCCCCCCTCTCTCTCTCTCTCTCTCTCTCTCTCTCTCTCTCTCTCTCTCTCTCTCTCTCTCTCTCTCTCTCTCTCTCTCTCTCTCTCTATGCTGTATAACATGTGCATGTAGGTTCGTTGAACTGGCTTTCTGCCAAATTTCCGGCAAGTCGCTTGTTTCCACTGCGTACCAGCGGAGATGGCAATTGTCTACTTCATGCTGCATCGCTGGGCATGTGGGGCTTTCATGACCGCTTGCTACGTCTTCGGACAGATGTGGAGAATCTGCTGACAGGTAGGCAACGACGGCAATGGGTTACTGAAGGAAATTCATGATGACATCATTCCGTATGATTTCATATATCATGGCACAATAAATGTACTGATCCATGCACCGTGGGGCCTCATGACATCATACTTTTGCTCTGTTGGCTCTGGCATGGTTGACGGTATGCGCGCTGACATTTCACAAATAGATATTGTATGACATGAGAACCATTGAATGTCTGTGTTAACACATTCTAAATGTCTTCCTTTCCAGCCAGACACCATTACACACGATGTATTTGGTGAATTGTTTTGTCACATGCCTCGTCTTGCTGTAGTGGGCATCAATTTTTCTTGTTGTGTGTGTGCTTGTGTGTGGTGTGTGTGTGTGTGTGTGTGTGTGTGTGTGTGTGTGTGTGTGTGTGCAGGAAAGAACTCGTCAACGCGTGCAATTTCCAATAGCATCTGCCGCCGGTGGGCATGGGACATCTCGTGGAAGAATGCCAACAACAACACCTGTCTGGTGTACACCAGTGCCGAATGGGAACGCGAGTGGTCAGAAGTCACCGCCATTGCGTCTAGTGCCGAACTGAGGGGACAGGCCGGTAAGCTACTCTTCTGTGTTGCTGTATTTTTTTAGCGGCTGGAAATGTAGTTCAGAAAACGACACAGTACGTGCTGGACTGAGGAGTACGAATTTCCAGTTGGCTAGGCTCAAGCTTATCGAAAGCACTCTTTCCCTACCTGTTCACACACCTGTCTTGGTCTTCAACGGGCTAGAGAGCACTGTACTGTGCATCAATTCTAAAATCGCTGAAATGACCCGTCTTCCGCTATTGCAGCTTATCCAAGGTACATGTAGTTCTCATCTTCCCACTTCTTCTCCTTTTTACAAGTTTACCCTCCATAGCTGTTTGTTTGTGTTGGTATGTATCTGCATAGCTATTTTTATTTGTGTTGGTATGTACAGGAAAACCTGTAACTAAAGACCACCGTGACTAGCGACCAGCCTGGTACTACCGACCACTTGGCCAGGCACGGACGGTCTCACATTCAAAATGCACTGTGACTAGCGACTACCTGCTGAACGCGACCAGCGACCGCCTTTTCTTGTCCCAAAGACGATTTTTGACCCGTAACTAGCGACCGCAATGTAGGAAATCAAATGTTGCTCGAAGCTCCTTCTTGAAATTTTGCTGATTTTCCATGGTCCTGAAAGGAATCTTTCGGTACTACAGCTGAACAAATGAACGCAGGCCATTATGACTGTGGAGTCGGCGTGGACTGCACTACACCTGTCAGAATTCAAGCGCTGTCAAGAATAAACATGATAGGAAACGTCTCTGAGAGCGCATCGAAAGCGCTCTCTGCTCGATGTTACTACTCGGAGGAGAAACGAAGACTGAGCGGCTCTGTCACCCCAGTCATATAAATGAATCGGCGATGGCGTCAAGGAATCCAGAAACAAAGCAGCACCGCAAGGTCCTGATGCTGAAGGACCGCGTTCGAACAATCGAGAAGTCACAACAAGGATAGTCGGTACGATTGATCGGATGAACAAATTTGAGGCCCAGCGCAAAACGAAACTTCCACAGGGAACGTTTGACTCCTGGCTTCAGAAGTAGCAGCTGAATTTGATGTCTGCAAAAAATTTAATCTTCTCTCTCTTTTTTGTCTCTCTTCAATTCATCTCTCCATCTTTCTCTCCAAGTGTTGTTTGACCGGAAATAAGAATGGCATTGCGCAAGTCCTGGGGAATTGTATTAGCTGCATTTTGATATGCATATCATATACTTGTACTGGGATCCATATATGGTCGCATGGTGCAAACCTCTAACTAAAGACCACCTGCTACTAAAGACCGCTTTTGCTGGCACCAAGGGGTGGTCGGTAGTCACAGGTTTTACTGTATCTACATGCATGCAGTCTGTGTGTTTGTGTTGGTGTGTATGTGCTGGCAGAAGCTGCAAGCGATCAAGGCCCTGTGTACAGCAGTTTAGAAGAGGTTCACGTCTTCACGCTGGCTCACGTGCTGCGTCGTCCTATCATCGTCGTCGCTGACAAGTATTTGATGAATGCGTTTGGCGAGAGGATAGCACCTATACCATTCAGTGGTATATATCTGCCGCTGCTGATTCGCCCGGACCGTTGTTTCACCAAGGTACCGCTGGTGCTGGCTTTCGACTCGCTTCACTTTGCTGCGTTAGCAGCAATCGACCGTAATCTGGACGTGCTGTCACTGTGGGCTCCGACTTCTGTGGAGTTGCTCAAAACCTTCTCACGTGAGTTGTGGGGGTGCTGCATGATGCCGTGTTCAACTTTCCTCTCAGTTCAGTCATGGGTTTTCGGACCCAGCCAGGGTAGTGTGAGTCGTCCATCCTTTTTGCCTGCGAATGCTCTCTGCTCTCAAGTAGATGAAACCCACTCCTCGCAATGTACACAGGCACGCGCACACGCGCGTGCGAACACACACACACGCGAGTGCGAACACACACACACACACACACACACAAACATTGTGTACAGATTTCTCCCGTTCTCTGCCGTTCATTACCAGTATACGTCAAACCTGCTGTATCCATGGACCATGTGAATTCCTTTCTACGTGCTCCCCGGCAATTAGTTCAAAAACCTTTTTTCAAGGCAAGCTCATTAATTAGCATGTTTTCGATTCTTCGCAGCTTGACATCGAGTGCGTTTGAAATTTCTCTGCTAACTGGCAGTTTCTCTTCTTCTGCGTGTTTTTGTTTTGTTTTCAAATTTGTTTTGCAGCACCAGAGCCGAACACACAACCACCAATCACGGAGAACCTGGTGTTGCCGCTGGAACGGCAGAATGGCGAGCTCTTGCCGATCATGTTCAGCTTTGATCCAGGTAGGGGCTGGCGTCATTACGAGGCGCTCAATTTGGATGGTGACTTTGCCGTCCGTTACGCCGACTTCAAGGAGAAAGTCTTGCCCACGCGTATCAGCGACTACCTGAACTTGACGGAGGTGGTTGTTTACGAGAATGACGCGCCCAGACACGTGCTGTGTGCGAACATGTCACCGATCATAAAGCCACCTCACCTGCAACGCATGCTGCACCGCTACTTCACCTACCGGGAAGAGGAGTATGCAGAGGCAGTTGCAGCTAAGCAGGCGGTAAGCTCCTATGAACACCGCTGTCTTGCTGTTGTCACAAGTAGCTTTGTTGGTGATACTGCTGGTGGTGCTACGATTTTAGCGTTGCTGCTGGTGCTGGTGGTGAAGTTGCTGCTGTTGATGATGCTGCTGCTGGTGATGCTGCTGCTGGTGATGCTGCTGCTGGTGATGCTGCTGCTGGTGATGCTGCTGCTGGTGGAGATACTGCTGGTGGTGATGCTGCTACTCGCTGTCATTGACATTGCTGCAGCCCGCCTAGCTGGCATTGCTAGTGCGGATACGGCTACTGGTGCTCATATCCATGTAGTTGTTCTTGCTGCTGTTACTGCTTTTGCAGCTATTGCAGCTATTGCTGCTGTTGCTGGTCGCGGAGGTGTTGTGGCTGCTGGTTGAGGCCGTATGCATAGTTGTTGGTTTGGGCCATCGGTACTGGTACTCGTTCAGAATCCGTTGAATATTCTCGTATTGCTGAGTCTGCAGTCAGTCTGCCCTATAGTGCTATAATAAAGTTATGGTCTCCGCGTCGCTTATTCCAGTAAGATAAAGCGTGCAGTCATTCTATATTATCATGCATATACTTGTACCAACATCATCAAGGACCAATTTTTGTCTCTAAGAACGTTTATGTGTGTGTTTTCATCGCTGTTTTATCTGATCTCCAGGAGACAAAACTGGCAGCGGCCAGAGCAGCGGCAGCAGCAGAAAGATCTTCCGCAAGTGACGATACAGATCCGAGTGAGGTTTCTTCACCACCCTCCTCATCTGCTGCATCTTTCTCCTCGCCGTCAGCTGTGCCATCTGGCCCTTGTCGTACGGACGGCTGCAACATGTATGGGAGTAAGCAGCACCTGGGATTCTGCTCAATGTGTTACCAGAGGTCCATTGGTGCGTACGGCGCGGCAGTCTCCCCCACACCACTGAGCGAACACAATGCCTCAACCAGCCCCAAACTGCCCACCCGCTCTGCAGCGTCTGGTAAGCCTGGCGCCACCAAGCAGGCTTCCAACCCCTGTGAAATCTCGCCCATACCTGAGGAGTCAGCGCTGGCCGACTGGGTGGACGTCAGTGATTACGTGTGCTGCAATGTGCCCGATGCAAGCATTAACCAAGCTAGCAGCGTGTCACCTGCTACCTCACCCGCACCAATGCGTGCTGCTGCTGATGCTGCTGCTGCTGTTCCACAGTCGCATGACGAGCACAAGGAGATGGCACCCACAACGTCTGGTGGCTCGGCTGTTCGCAATCTCCGCCGTCGCCTCGCAAAACTGAAGCCCGGGAAGAAGGTCAAGAATGGCGGCGTAGCTGCATCACAATCCACTGGTAGCAACCCATCATCCTTGAATGGAGCAGCGTCTGCATCAGAATCATCAGCTGCTGCTGCTGCTGGTATGAGTAGCAGCAGCGTAACGAGTGTTGAGAATATGAGCAGTGGCAGCAGCAGTACAGCAGGTAGCAATCCTGTATCTCGTGTGGGATCAACTCCGGATGTCACCTCTCAGCTTCCATCCACCAGCAAGAAGCCCAAACAGAAGCAGATCCGGGCGGGCAGCTTTTTCCGCTCTTCAAGGAAGTCGCCGACGCTGGGCCGCTCCTCTACCGACCCAGTCATGAAGTCTGCCAGTGCTGCTCCGGCTCCATTGGATGTCTTGCACAATCAGATGGCCATCCTGAGACTACATGAAGGCCAGGAGGCAGCGGTGCAGGTGCCAGCATCCAAGCAAAAGAGCCTGGTATGACGGCATCTCTTTTGCCGGATGGTTCACCTTGATGTTGCGTTCACTTCAGAAGTTCACCTAGCTCTCTGTAGTACTGGGTGTTAGCATTTAAATCGAATATGTTGCTCTCCATGACCAGATTCAGGAGAGCGTCAGTCGATTGGTCTCCGTTGCACTTGATAGTGTTGTGTATTGCAAGGCTGCGTGCTCTGTGTTGGCACTACAAGCTACACGCCGCAGTCCCACTGCCTGCAGTGCATTGTGTTGGAGGACGCTATCACTGCAATGTGCTAGCCGCTACTGCTATCACAGCTTGAGAGCCTATTGGCACACGAGACTGGTGCTGATGTTGGCTGCTGACGCCATGTGTGGACGGCTGGTCGCGCTATAGGCGTACTTGAGTGGCAATATGCACCCCGCCAGCTGTCCTTGTTGAGCAATGTTCCAGTGTCATATCCTAACCATGCAGACTAGCCACACAGACCAATCATGCAGACTAGCCACACAGACCAACCGTACAGACTAGCCACACCGACCGATTCTTACAGACTAGCCATACAGACTAACCATGCAGACCAATCATACAGACCAATCATACAGACTATCCATGCAGACTGTCCTTACAGACTGTCCTTACAGACTAACCATACACGCAACCTGCGCACACTAACCATACATCTATTTTCATACACACCGGTACCAGGTACTGCAGGAACACAACCACAACAGTGTCCTTTACAAAACATATTTCTTATTGAGTTGTTGTTTTTTTGCACATCAAAGCCTGCTATTGAATCAATCTCTTGACTCTTGGACGAAGTCATAAATCCTATTCGTGAACAAGTGCATGCTGTCTTTACACATATCTTTTTTGGAGTGTTACGTTTTTAACCATGATCTAGTCATTGCTTCTTTCCTGATCCGTTATTTATTAGAGCAGTCTGCATTTTACCCGTGATTTTAGGCAGTGGTGCCAACTTGCTATTTCTTTATGCTTGTCAGCTCGTTCGCTCACTTGATTCCTCTTTCGAATTGCGCTTGCCCACGGCAAGCCCTCCCTCCCTGCGTGCTAATCGTACAGCTGTTTAGATTTTATTTGCCTGCATTCCATTCCCAGTCTTTACAGTGCTCTGTTATTTTTACTTCAGATTTTTCCTGCCGTGCGCGCGCTGTGAGTATTTGTACTACCGTGGGATGATGGCTCGAGTTTGCCCAGTGTGTTCTCTGATTCTTGATATCAAACTTTTCGTTTCCGTTACGCTTCCTTGAAGTATTGTTAGTATAAGCGTTTGTGCTCTTCCTCTAATGGCATTTGGAATTCTAGCCAGTGTAGTAGTAGCAATGTCTGTACCGTAGGCTGCAGGTGGGAAGATGCGGGCCTGTTGCTGCCTGCTTTGCTGCTTTCATACTGTCTCATTCTGTTCACTCGGAATCTCATTCCCTCCTCACTGTCCTGCCACTCTACCAGCTGTGTACAGGAGAGTCATGCTGTCTTGGTTGAGACCTGTGTCTTGCCCCTCTTTGCATGGAAAGTGCGTCTACTATTATAGTGGGTTGAATGGCGGCAACAGACTCAATGAGTGAACAAGACCTTCTCGCAGTTGACATGATCATGGACTGGTTGAATTCCGATTGAGGATCGACATCAAAAGGCGGCAGCGATTTCCCCCTCAAGTTATGGAGACCAACTGAGCCGGCCATGCACAGGCCTCAAGGAATTTGGAATCTTACAATATTATCAGCCGAATACATGTGCCTCCTGTAAACTAAAGTCTCATAAATCAAAACCTGGCCTACAGCCAGCAGGTACTTGTCCAGAGTGACCTGACTAGACAAGTAGTGACTACAGTTCACCATGGTACACACTCTGCCAAAGTAGTCCAGCAGCAGAATCCGAGCCGGCAGCTATAGAGAAACCCCAACAGTTTTGACCGTATCATGCATGATATTGGCCATCATTGATCAGTGAACTACAATGATTATGTGTATAGCTACCCAGTCATAAGAAAGCGTTTCAAGTATAATAATGAATAGTACTTTGCTAATGGCAACATGACAATGTTGCAGCACTGCACTCTGCAGATATCCGTGTGTGATATCCAGTTCAGTGCTGCATTGTGCTATCATCAGTCTGCTGATGCTGTTGATAGACGGTAGTCAGTGTGCTGGTATTTTCAACGCTATGTCTGTATGACTGTGTGGTCAGGGACATTCTGTCACGCGGTTGTGTTCCCGCACGTGAATACGTGCAATACGGTACATACACTTATCCATTTTCCTTGAATCACCATGGCGACAGTTATTTTTTCGATCGATCGAGGTTTTCAATGGTGTTTCCAAGGGCTGGACTAGGCCATTTATACAATGTGTTGTAGGTCTGACCTGCGCTACTCGAAATCCAATCTTCTCTCCTAATGTCGATCCGACATATCGCCGGACACTTAAACTTAGTAGGTAGAAGTAATTTGTGTTTCATTTGGATCGCAGGAAGTTGGTCTCGGCTTGGCCGCAGGGAACGTAGCCATGTCGTCGGGAAGGGCTTTGCGGCGACTGCTGCACTTTGTCGCTTGCCTCTCACTGACGTGGTGCGCAGCTGGGGAGGTGGGTGCTGCAGGCGATGATGAATCAGGTGAATGGAATGGGAGGATTTTCTTTGAACTGCTTTGGTGTGTTCCCCCCATAAGATATCCCTCCAAAAGACGCAGTTATGAATGGCGTGTTACCAAGCGGTCTGAGAGAGGGCAAGAAGGGTCCGGGGCCCCAGTTTCACTCTTCATCGCCAGCATTAGTCTAGGAATAATGCTACACGATTGGACAAGGCTGGCACTGGCAGAGCATCCTTCAACACACTAATACCGTCATGATTGTATGTTCCGACCCTGATCAGTTTTGGCTAGACTCCTTTGATGATACTCAGTTCACCGTGAGTCTAGTTTGTACACCACATCATCCGAAATCAGTCTGGCAGGACCGGCGGCAGCTGTTTTTGGTTGGTCCGGATCCGGCCATGCCCTAGCCCAGTTTCATATTTTATGTATAATATGAAGGGTAGACACATGACCTCCTTAGCAGTACTGAAAACACTTTGGTGGCCAAAAGGTTGGTCCGGCCATGGCCGAACCAGTTCCGCCGGGCCTGTCTGCCCTGTTGTCTCTAAGCGTACAGACAGTGTGCAGTGGGTCAGAGCAAGGTTGGGAATGATATTGAATATATTTACATTGAGTGCTTTTACTCCGAGTTTCACGCACTAAGCGATCATCCTCTTATTCTTGTTGGAACTAGCTCTGCCTTCCGGCATTCAGCACTGTATTGTGCAGCCTGGAACCTCCTCTCTGTTTTACATTTACATTTATGTACATTTACATTTATGTACATTTACATTTATGTACATTTACATTTATGTACATTTACATTTATGTACATTTACATTTATGTGAGAAGTAATTTCGAGGCATCCTGCAGCTCCATCCGAAGAGAGAAGTAGGGTGGACACACCCATTCCCACAGCACTGCAAAAACCGAACCGATTCCTTTTATGATACCGATTCCTTTTTGTCTTTTTAAGAGGAATCGGTTCGGTTTTGCAGTGCTGTGGGAATGGGTGTGTCCACCCTGCTTCTATTTACATTCAAGTCACATTTATTAATATAACATGTTATGTCACATTATGTGATTGAGTGTACACGCCCATACCAGGGACTCATCCACTCTGTGACAGTGCTCAGACCCAGAGTTTGTGAAGAGAACACGCCAGTAAGAAGCAGCCTGGCGCGGGTCATCACGCGGGGAAAATGGAAATACTTATGAGAAGTTATGACCTAATGATGCTGCAAAGATGACGTCATCACGATACAGTAGTGACATAATCATTATTATTTTGCGTGTGTGTGTGTGTGTGCACGCACGTGCACTACCAACTATCATAGTTGGAGACACGAGGCAGCAAGGGCTGGTCATGAAGTCACTTCCCACCGAGGAATCCGACCTAGTCTACTTGGTGTCAACGGCTTTGGATGTTGAGGTATACAACAACGGGCATGATGTCACCCCAATCGACTGGGAGATGGGCTCTGTCTCACAACTAAGCTTAGCGCCAAGCCGGTCGCATCTCATGGCCATACGCCTGCGATTGGGACAGTGAGTTGCGTTCAGTTTAGGCTCTGGATTGGCATTCAGCCTGCATTAGTCACATGATTCTTAGAACACGAAAAGATTTCATTGGACTCTCACCCACTCAACCCCCCCCCCCCCCCCCTTATATTTTTAAGAACAACCATTGTTTCCAAGCAGCTCACGTATGGTACCCACCCGGTGACAGTATTTTTGGATGCCCCTAATCGGTCACGGCCAGAGAAGAAGTTCCGACCGACATTTTGACCGTCAAACTGCAAGACCCTGTTTTATGCATAGGCGAAACTACGGTGTGTAAATCATGTGTATTATAATCTATGGTGATGTCATGATGAATAACTGTTGATGATCATGGTAGTCACATTTAGTCCCGTACTTGATGCCGGTCTCCATCCAGAATTGCCCTGGGAGAAGATCAAGAACCGCCTCCGCCCGGTTTTGCCATGTCGATAGACAAGCACGTGACCGCTGCGGTGAAGTACAGCTACACGGATAGCTCGTGGAGGTGCGTTGTCAATGATCCGGCCAGTGTCGATTCCCTGACACCTCACCTGCCTTGGTTCAGTCCCAAGTATGATGACTGGAGCTGGCCTGGCGCTGTCAGCCTGGCCCGGAACGGCATGGGATCATACCTACCCATGGAGGCGGTCAGTGGCGATGCAGAGTGGATCTGGACGGACATGGTGGACTCAGGCGAGGGTGAAGACGAGCAGAGTGTCTACTGCCGCGGCTGGCTGTCGGAGTTCCCAGGTAAGTAATGCCGAGACCACAGGCCGGCGTTATTGGCTTGCCTCACCAGCACAGGTTCCTTCTTGGAGCCCCTACTCTTCCCATTGTTGTGTTGTCCTGCTACTTCTCTCCCCTCTTCTTACGAGTAGCTTGTGTACTATTCAGTAAAAAATTAAATAAATGCATATCCCTGATTATGCTGATAGCGCTGTATACCTGATATTAAAACAGAGCTAGTGTATCTGTAGAGGTCACTGGCTGGATGGATGTCAGAGTTTCAGTGAGAGTCGGACCGGTAGTGGGACACAGAGAGCACATTGAAGCTCATGCATAGCACATCACGGCCTCCTCCCTCCAGGTACCCGGCTCCACGTTGCTCTACTTGATGCTAGTTACTTCTGAAGTAAAACAATTCGAGGTAATTTTTTTCCCACTCATGCACAATCTGGCTGTAAGTTCGGTTTTCACATATCGTGGTCATTGCAACGTACAATCATGTGTAAGCAAGGTGTGACAGTGTAGGTGACATATGCGTACAGGTACATATACATGTACATGTGTTGTAAGTTAGACTATTATCAGGGCCGCTGGAAACACTGGTTTTTGCTTGGTCCGGCATATACCGCATCCTTTCATACTTTGTGTAGGATATGGCAGGTAAACACGACCTCCTCAGCAGTAAACACCCCCCCCCCCAAACGTTGGTCCAGAGATCAACCGCTCTGGTTCCGGCACACCTGATTATGTTTATTGTGACCTGACTACCTCGTAGATACCCTCTGGATCGGGAGTGCAGATGCCAGCACGAAGGTGTCTGTTTACGCCAACGGTGAGAAGCTTGGTGAAACCACTGAGGTGCATAAGCGCGCTGCCCAGTTCACGCTGCCAGGCCAGGACAATCATGTTATTGCCATCTATTCAAAGGTGACCAAGAAGGAAGCTCCACGCGGCCTCATCGCCAGCCTGCAAGTGCCCAAGCCGCCTGGTGGTGTGACAGGCAACATGTGGAGATGCAAGTCGTCTCTCTCTGCGTCCGAAGTAGGTACCTGGATGCTGGAATCGTTTGACGATACTGACTGGCCCCAAGCAGAGGTCATCGCTCACCACACGGATGAACCGTACACGGTCGTAGTTGACGTCAGCCCGTTTGCCTTCTGGGTGTGGTCGAAGTACGGAGAGGACGAGGATGAGGCACCCGCCGAGGTTTTCTGCCGCTGCTCCGTAATGGCGTCCAATGGAGGTGAGCTGTGGATGAACCGTGAGATGTTGTGTCCGGGCTCTTATGCCAAGTTGGGAAATGGTTGCAGGTTGACATGGATCTATGTACGCGATGGGCAATGACTCGTTGGAGATCACTGTGGTGTAGTCTCTGTACAGTCTTTGTGTAACAACCAGGTGTGGTGTGAATATGCCTGCACCAAGCAGATGTTGTGTGAATATGCACGTGCCAAGCAACAGAGCTCCCGGGTTGATTAAATGCTATACCGTGGCGCATGCTTGGTTTCTACAGTAAAGAGTCGACAGCAATTGTCTGCGGAGTCATCGGGCAAGGAGGATGAGTACTCACCCCTGCCCATCACTGCCAAGGGTATGTACATGTACAGCATTTCCATTATGTACAGTGCGTACAGTATGTATGACGGAAAATGGAATCCTTGCCCTCTCTCTCTCTCTCTCTCTCTCTCTCTCTCTCTCTCTCTCTCTCTCTCTCTCTCTCTCTCTCTCTCTCTCTCTCTCTCTCTCTCTCTCTCTCTCTCTCTCTCTCTCTCTCTCTCTCTCTCTCTCTCTCTCTCTCTCTCTCTCTCTCTCTCTCTCTCTCTCTCTCTCTCTCTCTCTCTCTCTCTCTCTCTCTCTCTCTGGTTATTTTGACGCAGACATCACGAGTCGGTGAAGTTGCCAGTCATGCATGTATGCTCACAGCTCAGCAGCTATCACACTGTTATTAGGCAAATTGGACCATCTCTTTCACCACTTATCTCTCCATTAGCACCCGCACTACGTAGCATCGTGGGACTGAATTCAAGTATTATTCCCGAAGCTAAAAGCGTATGATGTCGCAGTGTGACGTAGTACATTATAGTGTAGCCCGGGCCCGTCGCCTTTAGCTGTGCATGCGCGGGCCGGCTATGTTTGCATACCGCACTACGTGACCAAGAGATCACGTGAGAGTGGGAAAGGGGTGTAGGTCACGTGCCAACACAACGAGAGCCCTGAGCGCGGGCTCCCTTATCCATGGCGTGTTTGCTACGTATTGTGTATTCTGTGCGCTATGTGACGCTATCTCCCAGGCTCAGAAGTTGTTGAGTTGTCTACGGATGATGTAGATAACATGACGACATTGGAGTTCTACAAGGAATACATCGCTGCTAATCGGCCCGTTAGAATCAAGGTACGGAGATTGGCCCTGTATGTTGATGGTCAGAATAACTGTTAGTTGAGAAAGAAGAAAGAACCAATAAGTTACGAGTTATAACTAACCGTCTGTCCACCAAGGTAACAAGATATTATACAGTCAGATAGTGTGACAACAAGGCACACAACTGGCAGGGATATTGAGACATGCAGTGACCTGACACCTACTGCAGCTCCAACACATCTATGAGGTGCAAACCAACAACCTTCGAATTTGGAAGGCTCAGGTTAGGAAAGGTCCAATGAGGGGAAGGAAAGTGCAACGAAGATGAGCATGAGCTATGTTAGTCATAACTCGTAACTTAACCCTTTCTTAATTAATACTATTGGCTCAACCAACCCAATTTTAATAACTGTTAGCTTCATTGATATTGCTGTGTACTTGTCCATCCCGACCCGGCCCGACCCGGCCAGGCCTGCCTTCCCCACTACAGTATGCATGCATGATGTCTTGCCTCGGAGGATAAAGAATCTGGTGGACAAAGTGGTTTCGTCATAAAACGATAATAATTATATGAATGCAGATGGCGCTGGATTAGAGTCCTGTGTGTGAGAGAAAGGATGTTTGAGATATTGCGTCAAGACGTAGAAAACATGACATTGTCAGAGTTCTAACCATACAGTGTGTCGTTGCTGGTTGGTGAGTCATCAGCCTCCATGAGCGATGATACTGGCACGATACGTCGACAGGTGATCTGAGAACACTCGGTGTGCCGCATGCCCTACTAATATACCATGGTCCGTACTATCCAGGACCTGCTTCTGATGCCTGAGAGGTTGTTGCACCCAGATCATGGATTTGGAAAATGTTCCGAGCGTTAATCAAGTGATTCCTATAATTGGAATGCGCAGAGGAGGAGTGAAGTAGAAATTTTGTACAGGGGCTGGGCTCATGCGAGTCGACTAGTGCTGGGCATTGTGCAACCCCAGCCATGTATCCTCTGCCTCTGGGCTGTACACTGGCCTATCCATGAGATCATGTTCATTCAGCTGCTGATGACTGTGTAGAATTATTAGTTATTCCCGTAGCTATGCAGAAGACGTCACTTCAGTAACGTCTGGCGCTAGCCAGGGTCCACACAGCTTTAATTTGGTGTTTGTGTGTTTGTTTGTGTCACGCCTGGCGCTATCCCGTATCTGACGGCAAAAAATCATAGGGATGTTATAAATTTTTCAATTCTCCTATTTTTCAGGCATATCCTGGGATTCGAACCCGCACTATCGCCCTACATGCATTCCCCCATACACTTCGCATTCATACCCATTCTTCCAAGTTGCTTCACGTTACGATCTTGCGTTTGAAAGCCCTATTTGAATATTGCGGGCAGCTGTATGTGGCCAGCTGTGTTTGATGGTACGGTACGGGAGACGGTGTCGTATTACCCTCGATCGTACCTGTCCCGTACCTATCCCTACCGTACCGTACCATCAAAGACGCTGGCCACAATGCATATTCAAATAGGCCTTTCAAATGCAAGATCATAATGTGAAGCAACTTGGAAGAACTACAGTCCATTTCAAAACTATAGACGCGTACCTAGGCAAAAACCGTTATGCCAGCATCTATACCACATAAAATCTGTGATCACTTTGTGCATAAATTTTTCAAAATTGGGCGTCTGTTATCCAATCCTTTAGAAACTATATGAGAGTAATTGTGGAGCAATCCTGAGCAATATTCCGGAAACTATTCTCAAAAAGTTCCAGCCAAATTTGAAATATTTCAAAAACCCTACGCGTCTATAGTTTTGAAATGCACTGTAGTATGTATGCGAAGTGTATCGGGGGATGCATGCAGGGCTTGATAGTGCGGGTTCGAATCCCGGTTATGTCTTAGAAAAAAGGAATTTTTAAAGACCGGGGGATGCATGCAGGGCGCGATAGTGCGGGTTCGAATCCCAGGTAACGGTTATGTCTTTAAAAAAAAGGAATTTTTTAAAGAATTTATAACATCCCTATGCTTTTTTTTGTCTAGGTCATCAAGGCAAAAAAGGCATAGCGTAGGGCCCTGAGCTTCCAAGCTCTCTCGTTGTGTGCTCCCCACTGTGCCAATTAGTTAACGGTGTGTTTGATTCTCTTCGGCAGGGTGGCATAAACCATTGGCCAGCAATGCGTCTCTGGACAGATGCATATCTGCGTAAGAAGATCGGCAATGAGGCCGCCACGGTAACACTATCTCAGGACAAGAATGACGTGTTCTACTTCTACAGTGAGAAGAAGGTGATGAAGGACATGAACGTGCAGCAATTCATCGACGTAAGTCTGGGCTAGTTTCTTGGCGTTCTTGCTGGTACTATTCATTGGGCTACCGGTACCTGATGCGGGCATGATTCTAGCCAAAGGGACTGGGGGGGGGGGGAGCCCCCCCCCCCCTACTCTGTTTGCTTGCCCCCCCCCCTACTCTGTTTGCTTGCCCCCCCCCCCTCCCCCCCTGTGATCATGTGCCCCCCCACTCATTTTCCGATTTTTGTGCTTTTTTCATGCCATTCAACGCAAATGCATTCGATAGTCAGTACTAGAGAGTTCATAAAGGCACATTTGCCTGGGGTGAAGTCAGGTGTTCACCCTGTACGTTGCATTTCGCATTGGAAGACAGTTATTCTGAAAAAAAAAAAAAAAAAAATTCACGGTTCGCGTGAGACTCGGCCAAAGGCCCAGTTTTCCGCATCCGCAGGAACGCCACCACCCTCCTGGATCAAGGCGCAGATGCAGCTCCTAAGCGGTGGGAGGTGAGTAGATCAGACCCACCACAAAGTGGTCAAAGACCGAAATCCCATTCACTGCATCCATGTTTCCCTCGTGCCAGGCCACGAGTTCCCAATTAACTGTGGGTCGCAGCACGGCTGGAAAAAATCCTTCCGCTTCCAAGCAGGACTTGAACCTGGTACCCTCTGTTTCTCAATCATGGTCTTAGACCATCCCACTATGCCTGCCTGATTCTGAAAATGGGAAAAAATTAAATGGGTTACGGGGTAACTGTTTCCCATGCCCCCTCCCCCCCCCCCCCTACTATTTTGACCTGGCTAGAACCCTGAGCATCGCTATTATCGCCTCCAGTGATTGGCTTCAAATGGTGTGTGTGTATGTGTGATTGGTATCCTTCCTGTGTTTGTTTAGAAATACCAGCAACCTGGTGACGACAACAGGATGTATTTAGCACAGCACCCGCTCAAACGTGTCGGTCGCTCTGCAGCTCTAAACATGCGTCTAGCTGCTGACCTTGATAGACCACGTGTCACACAGCTTCTTGTAAGGAAATTGTGCAGGAGAGAGAGAGGGGGGGGGGAGGGGGTTGAGAAAGCGTGTGTATGTGTCAAAGATAGATAGATGCATGGACCCGGGTGATGAGAAATATGTGAGTCAGGGTGCGTCTGAAAGCCCCTGCAAGCTTTTCTGTCATTGCTGACCGCATTCTGGCAGTGCAAGCATGATGTCCAAGTCTTTCCATCTGTGTGTGGTTGCTTTCATTGATCTGTGCTCTATGCTGTCCCTCCAGGAAATCGCGATTCCATGGATGCAACAAATTTCGCGATTTTGGCCCAAACCCGCGATTTTCAGCAAAATCCGCGATTTCCCCGCTTTTTTGTTGTTTTCTGCACTCTATCTCACATGTTTTCTGCACTTTTCACACAGTGCTTTCCATGATCCTGTAGGTTATTTTCACAGTATGACCCGTACTACTCCGGAGTAGATATACGATGCAACAAATTTCGTGATTTGGCCCAAATCCGCAATTTTCTGCAAATAATTCCGCGAGTTCCTGGCAAGTTCTGCATCATTCCGCACTTTTCGTCGCATTTTTTGTTGTTTTCTGCCGCAATTTCTTGCGCAAGTTTTCGAGAATTTTTTCTGCGAATTCCCGCAGGGACAGTCTATGCTAGACACCCAGTATCTACTACCACCATCTTGCGATGGTAACATATGTCTGTGCCATGCACTCTTGCTGTGTTTTTGGCTGTCTGCAGGAAATCGATGCTGTCAACCTGTGGATGGGCGCCGGCGGCCAGGTGACACCCGCTCACTTTGACAACTACGAGAACTTCATGTGCATGGTGGACGGTCACAAGAAGTTCCGTCTGTATGAGCCCGCCATGTCGAACTTCATTTATCCCGTGATGCACAATCTGTAGGTAGTACTTCCCAATGCTCGGCATTGTCTTCTTTGATAGAATTGTGCGTGCATGTGTGGTCAAGACTGAGTCATCAGTGTCACTGAGTCACGGTGGTGAAACATGTAAAACCAGTCATGGATATAGCCCTGGATACTTCCTCTCTGCCGTGTGATGCATGGCTCACACTGCTTGTGATCATAAAGGCTGTGAGATGCGTATTGTCCATACAGCAACACTCCAACAGATCACTCCTTGTCGGCAGAGTGTGATCACACATGTCCTTCCTTGACGTGGAGTTTGATCTTCCACCAACGCCACATAGTCATGTAGGGCAAGCTACACAACAGCTTCTCCACACTGCTCACTCCAATAATGTTCTATGTATCCCCTTGTCGGTGTGCAGGAGGACAGGCATCACAAGCCGAATATCAAATTTCAGTAAGATCGACTTTGCTGCTTTCCCCAAAGCCGCCCACCTGAAGCCGGTGTTTGTTGAACTGAACGCTGGAGATCTCTTCTTTCTGCCTTCCTACTGGTGGCATGAGGTTAGTGGGGGAGATCAGTCTGGGCATGCCGTACGCTATGTAAGACATGCTGGTCGCACACACTGGTCGGAACACAGAGTCTGAATTACACGTGTATCAGGGCATGTTACCCAATGCTGTAGACAGCGAGCTGTTTCGACCATGAAGGCCTCACTATGATCAGTACAGCTACGAGCTAAATAGGCCGAACCACCAGCCATGGTGCAAAGGAGGCACCACAGACAATACAATACATGTACAAGGAAAGAACTGTAGCTGTCAGCAGCAAGACTACACAAACAGATAACGTTAGTGGAGCACAGCAAAGATTGGTGGCTTGCTGAAGAGCTAAGTTAGCCTAATCTCCTATACTGTACAGGGTTGAGCATGAAGGAAGTATTGATTGCCATCTTAGCAGTACATGCTGCCAGCAATGCCGTGTAGGGCTTCCACTGAGGCATGTCCGATGAGTTTCAACGGTAAATTGCAATGCAATACCATGTAGTAGTAGACGTAGAGTTATAGAGTAGAGTTATAGAGTAGAGTAACTGAAGGATCACAAGTGAGTGCATTAGTTCTAGTTCTGGGACGTTGGAATGTATTCAATATTGGTGCGGCCGCTTGAATACGTGGAGGGTCCGGAGGTCCTCCCCGGGATAATTTTAGGAAAATTGGGCCCCAATAGCCCATATTTCATTGCTTCAAAAGTTAGAAGATGAAATCATCGGTGCAGCTTTGGCCGCACCTGCCGTTTCCGATGCCTCTGTAGTCATAACAACAAACAAACCATTACCCGGTCACTGTAGATAAGAGTGAACAATACAGTGTTGCAGCTATTGGAGAATGGAGACTTTCTGGGAATAGTCTGCCGCAGGGTTACGGTATGACGTTGCTGTGTTTGTACTGCATGTGTGCTTATGTATGTGTTGGTGTATGTGTATGTGTTGGTGCTGTTGAAGGTGACGTCAGTGGGTCGCAACGTAGCCGTCAACTGGTGGTTCCGCAGTCACAGTCAAATTCTAGACAACATCTACGGTGGATGGCTGTCCAGTCTGCCACAAACAAAGTGGGGCCTGCTGGCTCAACAAAAGTATGATGAAATGAAGGAAAAAACTGGAATGAAAGATGAGTATGATGAGGACGCCGATGAGGACTCGGATGACGGATCCAGGCGTCGTAGAGGGCGGAAAAAGTCGCAGCGTGATGAGCTTTGAGTCGGAACACGGTTTGTACCCCCCCCCCCCGCCCAGACAGCCACTTTGAGCCGTAGCTAGTACAGATGGGTGCGCGTGTATGTGTGTGTGTGTACGAGCGTATGTGTGTGTGTGTGTGTACTCATGCGTTTCACTGTGATTGAATTGCACCAGTCAGCAGCACGTGCAGGCTCTGACAGAAACCAGCCCGTGTCAGAATAGCCAAAACTGACCTATGGTGCTGAAACACCAAGACAAAACACCATAGACCTTTTCGTTTTCACTGATAACTTTGCTGGCTGTTGCCCGGCAGCCCCTGGATGACTGCTTCACAGCCGCATCATAATAATGCTGACTAGTTGGGGCAGTCATGTGTGTTCCAACTCCAGCCACTCCCCTGTCCTGCAGTGGTTCACATGGTGGCAGCCACATAGCGCTACTGCCCGCACACCACTGCCTACACACTATACCCAGTTTCTACACTGACAAAGGGGTATTTGAAACAACTCTATTGAGCTGCACCAACTCAGTTGTCAGAGTACCTCTAAATCTGTTTTACTCGAGTAGTCAGAATCATGGTGTCTTACTCCTCAGAGTCTTTTTGACGGTTCCTTTGCTGGACTGATGCTGTCACAATTAATTTTAATCATTAGTTGACATACTGAGACCACGTCACAGTGTATCTGCAGTCAGGTAATGAAAGATATTGAATTTTTGGAAATTATTTATGAGCCTGGGCAATTGCTCTATTACAATACTGACTGCCTCTGGTTCTCACCCCTCATATCATGTGTTCTATAGATAAGCTGTGCCGACGGTATGATGTACCTCGATCTGCGGGCAGAACACTTATATTTATTATTTGATAATGCCCGGTTACCTAGCACCCAAATACTGGCCCATGTGCATTGAATTTTACACTAGGATACTTTGCGGAGTTTCAAATAGATGTTAGACTGAGTGATATCGATACTCATAGGCAAGCTGTACTGCAACACCCTTCGCATCTAACAAGGTTTGGGCGTGGCGTCAAATTGATAGCTACGGTTTTCAGTTGGAAGAGACCGTCCGGGGCCCGGTGTACCCGTTTGACAGCCAAGCCCCGGCCAGGGAGCTCTTACATACAGATGCTGACGGTGCAAGTAGCTCCACTGGGGTCTTCGCTCGATTCATTACTCTTGGCGATATCCGGGTATTGAATTGTATTGTATGTCACGCGGAGTTCCCGGATATGTGACTGTGCCATGGTAACCGCAAAGATCATGCCAGTCACCTGAGCGCCGGTGAATCATCGGGCCTTTTCCGTGCAGCGTGAATCCTTTTCCGTGCAGTGGCGGCGGTAACGTGCATGACCATGAACCCAATTCTTGTACTGGCGGCGATATCGGCAAGAGTAAACAAGTTCTTGGTGTCGGGCATGAAGTCTGTAGTTGAATCAATGTGCCTCACTTTGCCACAGCCTCACTTCACAGTCATGACAACAAGTAATACCGTACTGGCTAATACCGTACTGGCTAATACCGTACTGGCTAATACCGTACTGGCTAATACCGTACTGGCTAATACCGTACTGGCTAATACCGTACTGGCTAATACCGTACTGGCTAATACCGTACTGGCTAATACCGTACTGGCTAATACCGTACTGGCTAATACCGTACTGGCTAATACCGTACTGGCTAATACCGTACTGGCTAATACCGTACTGGCTAATACCGTACTGGCTAATACCGTACTGGCTAATACCGTACTGGCTAATACCGTACTGGCTAATGCCGTACTGGCTAATGCCGTACTGGCTAATGCCGTACTGGCTAATGCCGTACTGGCTAATGCCGTACTGGCTAATGCCGTACTGGCTAATGCCGTACTGGCTAATGCCGTACTGGCTAATGCCGTACTGGCTAATGCCGTACTGGCTAATACCGTACTGGCTAATACCGTACTGGCTAATACCGTACTGGCTAATACCGTACTGGCTAATACCGTACTGGCTAATACCGTACTGGCTAATACCGTACTGGCTAATGCCGTACTGGCTAATGCCGTACTGGCTAATACCGTACTGGCTAATACCGTACTGGCTAATACCGTACTGGCTAATACCGTACTGGCTAATGCCGTAGGCGTAGGCTAATAGTTGTATAGATGTACAGTAATACCTGGTTTAACCACCGTTTTCCCTTGCACGGACAGTTCTACACAGACACTGTGGGACCTGGTTCAATAGACCACCTGGCTTTAACGACCGCTTGCACCGTGGGGTGGTCGCTTAAACCAGGTTCTGTACAATCATGAAGCTTGTGTGTTTTCTTATTGACAAAGTCCTATTACATACATGTGCTAGTAAATGTTTCTAAAAGGGTTGTTACCTGCAGTATACATGATGAAGTGCTGTAGCTGTGCAGGCCGATCTCCGTACCAACGACTTACGTCGTTGCAACACCAACCCTTTTTATGAATGCGTCGACCATGCATGATCGATGACAAATCAGTTGTCACTGCAGTTCCGACCAGGCAGCACAGCGGTCTCTCAGCGAGTCGAGTCAGAGACGCTCTTATCTCTCTAGCTCTCACAGTCATGACTAGCTCGACTGCTACTTACTAGTCACGTCATGCACCCATTTACCTACTGTCGTATACGTACGTACTGAGCAGGGAGTACGAGTCGTATAGAGTATACGACTAGACTCCCTGGTACTGAGTCTGTAGACGTGTCCAGACCATGCATGGTAGACCTAGTACCTACCATGGTAGACAGATCAGCTACGTAGGTAAGACGAGTAGATCTACGAGTACGAGTGTTGTCTGTTGCCAGTGCAGTGTTGGTAAAATATTTTTTAGGAACTGACTACGTGACAATCAGTCATGTGTACTGCACTAGCCACTACTGCAGTACTGGGCCGGGGAGTAGTACTAGTACTAGTGGTAGGCCCGGTACGCGGTGTCGCATGCAAAAGTGTTTGGCTAAAAGATTTGAGATCTGTAACGATGTTACGTATCTATTGACTTTCTTTCCTAGAAACTTATTTGGAAAGTAAGTTTGCTTGCTGATGCTGCTCGCAAACGAAGCCGGACGCGGCTCTGGTAGGACAAGGACGCCTGGAGGAGTTGCATGCGGCTGTTCGCTCGCCAGTCGGTGTGCGTGTTGAAGTTTGCCTGGCCGAGTTCTGGCTCCAGAGACCGGCGTTGATGTGCGGGTTGTCGCTGACTGGTTGACTGGATAGTGGAATTGTTTCGGATAGACGTGCGGAGCCAGCGGGCGCTAGCGCTATTCGCTGACGAGGAGAATGAGGACCCTCGGCCCACTACCATTCCATAATCCTCATTGGCCGGAGCGCCCTCTGTGACGTCATTCCGCAGCCAATTTAATTCAGCTGATATTACACTGAGTGTTTGTGGGTGTGGGCGTGGGTGTGGGGGAAAGTCACTGAATGTCGGAGCAGTGGTCGATGGAAAGCAGATACAGCAGGGCTTTGCAAGACCTGCGCGTCGATTTCCTGCGCGACTTGAAATGTGAGGATTTCGTACTGGAGCATCTCCATCAGCAACGAGTACTCGGTACGAAGCAGCGTGACGCCGTGCGTGGTCTGCAGTACCGTGAAGAGCAAGCGCGGCAGTTCCTGAAGGAGGTTGACAGTATATGCGAGGCCAGAGCATGGTCAGAGCTGCTATACGGATTGAGAAAGTCGAGTAGCACTACACACCACTTCCTGGCTGATAGTCTGGAACTGAAAGCATCCGGCAGATCGGAGCTGATCCAGCGGCCACTATCAGCCCCTGCCAAGGGTTATCTAGGTACAGTACAGTCAGTCAATCACGCATACTAGTATTCAGTTAACACCCACAGTTGAACATCGATTATCCGACCACCTCTGGGCAGACAACTGTCAGGCGGTGTTCAGATAAGGCAAATGTTGCGGATAAGAAACATGTACATGTACATGTATGACCTTTTTACTTTTCAAAATTTTCGTATTTTTTGAATGGCTCACTACATGCACAGTGCGTACTCTACGGCACGTGCGCCCAAAAAAACTGTTACGGATAATCGAATGGTCGGATAGTCGATGTGCGGATAATCGATGTTCAACTGTACTATGTATGGCCTTTGCCCTGTGCGTGTACAGTGTTGCTCAGTGAAATCCAGTCACAGCGGCACTCATGTACGCCATGCCGGGTGCTGCGCAGCCATAGACCTGCGAACACTGGGCTGGGGAATGATGCAAGGCGCAAACTTGAGTGTCGCGAGGGGATTTCATTGAGCAGCACTCTATATGTAGAGAGTGGAGGGACGGGGACTCAGGGGGGGGGGGGGGGGGGGTAAGAGCGGGAGGGCTATTCTAACTTTGTTCTTCCATTGTGGTTGATTGGTGGAGGGAAAGATTTTTGCTGTTTCAGACTGGGCAGTCCACACAGTGACGTTTGAGCAGCTACATGTATAGTGTTCATGACTGACATGCTGCACATGGTCAGTAGTCAGTTTCACCTTTTGCCTTTGCTATGACGGGGTGTAGAATAGGGTTAGATGTTGCTGGACACCAGAACCACACTACTGTACAGTGTCTGCTCCAGGTCCAGGTCAGCGACCTGGTCGGGGGGGGGGGGGGGGTACTTGAACCTGTTTGATAAAAGAACGCCGCCTGGTTACTTGTGTCCCGGTTGGGAGTATGCATGTACATGGGGAGTACTTTTTACTTCGAAGGCAACACTGATATGCTGCAGGCGGGTGCAGGCATGTACAGACAGAGTGCCCAGTATGCACTGCTCACATAGCACGTGAACGTATACCGGTGCCGGGCTCTGACCCGGGTTGCAGGACTTGTGCCAGGTACACCTGTGTCTGGTTGCTTTGAAATCCTAGAGCAGACACTGCAGCGATATTGGACCTGGCCCAAGGGTTAAATTCTGATCTGCATGGCTGTCACAGTCATTCATTGATACAATCATTTCCTTTTTCTGACGTCGCTTTGCATCAACACGTGTGCGTGTGTGCATGCATTTTCCCCACGCGCGCATGTGTGTGTGTGTGTGTGTGTGTGTGTGTGTGTGTGTGTGTGTGTGTATGCATGGCATGTGCTCCATAACAGATGAGATCATGAAAAACCCCGACGAGGAAGGTAAGACTGGAAGTTAGTGGATTTTCAGATACTGGTGAATGGATTGAGTGGATATCACCACAATTAGTAGTGAGTGTTGGCTTGTCAGAAAGATGGGCTTCTGGTCTGCAAGACTGTAAGGCTTGCAACTGTGTGGCCACGCTAGTGTGGAGCTCTCCGTTCTCTGCAAGAAATGCTATTATAAATGAATAAATAACTGGCTTGAAAGTATCTTAGTGTTACTGGTGCTCGATGTGTCTGTCCAATCTGCCGGGTCTTGCGATTCCTACAGCACGATGAACTGTGTTCAGCCATTGTGTTCATGGCCCGGAATAGTTGACCGTTCATTCAAAACCAAATAGAAAACTTTCAGGTCAAATTATGGTACAGCAGGGATGAATTTATCCGGTATCGCATCGCAGTTTGCTATGCAAAATCGATCTACTGCTACTCAAAATCACAGTGACACGCAGAAAACTGCAATACATACATCAACAGGCTATCCATGCCTTTTTGTAGCTTATGCCACAATTGAGATTTTGCATAGCAAAAACTGCTATGCAAAAACCTGACAGTAAATTCATCCCTGTACAGTGCATTCATTTCTTCACTACTGTACCATAATGATCGTTGGTGTCTGTTTTCCTAGGTACCAACTATTCATTGTCATGATTGTGAGAGTATCAGGTGTCTAGCCAAAGGGGGTAGGGGGGGGGGGGGGGGCAGCGCCCTCCCCTGTGAAAAAGTGCCGCCCTACTCATTTGTCGATTTTTGTGATTTTTCATGCCATTCAACGAAAATACAGTCGATAGCTACTACAGAGGGTTCCTAAAGGAACATTTGTCTGGGGTGAAGCCGGGGATTCACCCTGCACGTTGTTGCATTTTGCATGGCAAGACAATTTTGGAAAATGGAAAAAATGGGTTACGGGGTAACTGTTTCCCATGCCCCCCCCCCCCCCCCCCCCTACTATTTTCACCTGGCTAGAACCCTGAGTATGCTTCCAGATTCCTCACTTGGCATCTAGTACACAGCCCTGACTTAAGCCTGCTGGTATCTCTCTCACTCGTTCACTCTCTCTCTCCGAGGCTCTCTCTCTCTCTCTCTCTCTCTCTCTCACACACACACACACACACACACACACACTCACTCTCGCTCTCACTCACTCACTCTCTCCCCCACACTCTCTCTCCTATTATCATGTGCAGAATGCAGCAGTTATAGTCCTGCTCCTGCAAGCCGTCAGCTTAGTCATCCTGTCTCAAGCCATACACCTGGGCTGAGCGCAGGTGGAGGGGACACATCGTCTCCACGCCTGCCCCCAATACGCTCTCAAGCTCTACCCCAGCACTCCGGCAGCCAGCCATCCATGTCAATGAATGACCCGATGAGAATGTCGGCAAGCTCGCCGGGGAGTGGTACGTTGCACTGCGACATTGATATGCCGGGGATGTATTTGTGCATTGATACGTATTCACACGTTCTTTGCTTAATATCAAGGGTCGTATCCAATGTGTGCGGCCCTCACTTACCCGATCACCTTGGGATCAAAGGATGTCCATACCGGTAACTTAGAAAAGGATCACAAATCAGAAGGTAGAACGCTAAATATAAAGTACATACACCTTGTGATGTGTCACAGTAACGGTCACAGCACCAAGGACAGCGTAGGGTACACTTGGAATGTACATGCAGTGGTAAAAATACTACTCAATCTGAAGGAATGTACATGCAGTGGTAAAAATACTACTCAATCTCAACTGAGAAGGGTACCCACATACCCAGTTGAGAGAGGTACACAGATGTCGAAGGTTGAAATAGGGGGTTGAGTGTATCGTAAGCCGGTGTGTATGGAACGGTACTAGTATCCATTGGACCGATCGGTAATAATTATTTATCCGTGGGCCTCAGAACGGCGACTAAAACGATACTTTGTTATCTGAATGGTCCACCTGATTCGTTGTTTTTGTTGTTCTTACACGTACATGCAGGTCCTAGCCTACCATCCCGAATGCATGGCGTGGCGCAGGGACACCATCTGCAACACCAGCAGCGACATCAGCATCAGCTGCAACCGTCCCAGTCCTCAGCTCAACCACCGTCGCGGTTAGGTGACCGTTCACAATTTCCACAGCAACCGGCCACGTCACACTACCACCAGTGGCAATCGCAGCACAGTGTCGGGGCTGGAAGGAGTACCCCAGCAGCAGCAGAGAGCTTCCTTCCACCCGTCACCCTCCCACAGCAGGCAGCACCACCGATAGCAACGTGAGTAGCGCCAACCTGTTGCATTACTGCGTCCTGGTGTGCCACGGCAAGTGCTCCGCACTGTGACTGCTGTGCCTCGCAATCATGATGTCTTCAAACTGTAACTCTGATCATGGTCCGATTGGCCATGCACACTATTCATTCAATGTGTTTGTGTGCATCACTAAACACGTGTGCATGTATGCACTTGCAGTTATCCAGCACGGCTATGGAAACAGATGGTTGGCAAGGGAACTTGACAACAAAGGCACAAAGTGCGCAAACACAGCTTTTCAATGTACAAGCACACCATAGCAGTCCAAGTTAAGTTGCGGAAAACAATAGTCGGTCTGCATGCTGCAATCTACTGCACTTGTTCGGTGATGAGCTTGGTTAGTGCAAGCCTAGTTGTTGGACCATGTACTGTTCTAGGGCCCTTTGTCTAGTTTGCCAGACGTTCATTCTATAAGGAATCTGGACTAGTCACTACCATTAGACTCAGCTGGAGAACCCCTTGGTTCTCCAGCTGAGTTAATTTATAAGAAGAAAAGAGGCCAGTTAGTTGTAGAACATCAGTACCGTTGGTCAGTGTCGTGCAATGTTATCGCATGAGCTGATTGTTTAATAACTGGTGGTGTTTGTGGATATTATAGTGTAACTTGTAGTTCCTTGGTCCTCTTTTAGTCTTACAAGTCATTATCATCTGTCTTGTTTTGTCGTCACCTATAAAAACATATTGCAGGGGAATTGACTTTGAGTCACTGAGCGACCGTGAGTTGGAGAATCTGGCAGAAATGCTGTATGGATCGATAGGCATTGAGTTTCCCAAGTTGGTCAACAGTCTTCTCTGCTCCATCGCCAAATACCGTCACGGCGCCCAGATGGCGTTGATCAGCTACCAGCGAGCGACCGGCTATCAGGGTGACTTGTTTGCACTGCTCAAGCTGTGGATAGCAGAGTCGGACGAACCCTGCACCGGCCTCAGCCTCTACCGAGCTCTGCACGAGATCGCACCGGGCATCGCTGTGCAGTGTAAAGGCCTGCTGAAGGTGAGTCACATGTCCGCCATGTTGCTATGTCAGGACCACCGGAAACAGTTCTTAATTGGTCCGGTAGTATCATGGCCTTCTGTTTACCTTGTGTATGATATGGCAAGTACACATGCCCTCCACAGTAGGAAACACGTCTTGGTCCAAAAAAGTCCAACAAGTTGATCCGGTGATAACCTGACCAACCGGACCGGTTCCAGCAGGTCTGTATGTCATTGTTCTGCAGGATCTAGTGCTGCACTATGTATGCTTCTTGGTGATGTCCTTACCAAGTTACGGTGTTTCAAGCCGCGCTAAGCTCAGTGTTCACCAAGGCTTCTTGGCCTTTCTGTTGTCTGGCAGACGTCTTTCAATGTTGTCTTTCTTTTTTCTTTTTTTGTGTGTTCAGCTGCCATAGAGCTTGATAGTGATCCGTCACACAGACGGTCGCTAGTTGAGTATGCTTCGGGCACCGTGAAGCTACTACAGTATGCGGCACTCTGTGATACGACTTGGAATGGAATGCTGTCCGCCGCGTATGGCATCGGACCCTCACAGATTTCCTCTGAATCTGAATATCAGGGCCGTCCAAGACGATGGCCGGTCGGCCATGTATTAGTGGAGTCTGCTGCACACACAAGCAGGAGTCGCCACCAAATAACCCGGCCATGGGTTTCAAAGCTACTTTAGCCATAGCTGTGTGACTGTGTATGGCTCAGGCGCGGCGTTCTATCACCGTGTCGCACGCAGTGATATGAACGTGATCACGCAGCAATATGGTCAGCTGGAAGTGGTGCTGTCCTGGAAAAGCATGTTCGTTTGGTCTAGCATCGTGATTGGATACAACGTGTGTTGTACTCAGCCTGCCTCTGAATACAGCCATCAGTCAGGCGGTCTCAGTGTTTACCCAGATGTACTTCGAACTTAGTTTGAAGTACTTGTCAGCAGGACGTAGTTTACTGGTAACGTGATCGTCGAGCTGTGCTGCTGATGTACGTACTCCTGAGAGAGAAAGAGAGACTCAGTGTGTGTGTGTGTGTGTGTGTGTGTGTGTGTGTGTGTGTGCTTTTGAACTACGCAAAGTCACGGTTGTCACCGGTGCTCGAGGACGGGTCCCCGCCAGACTGCCCAGCAGCGTGATTCGTTCACTAATGTATGCGAGTGTTCTCGCCGGTTCCATTTGCGCCACCACCTCCGGCGTCATCAGGCCGCGTGCTTCGTCTTCATCTCTGATGCCTCTCTGGGGCCCACATGACCCCTGTGGCAGTGGCTCTACGGGGCGGGGACGGCGCACGCGCGCGCGTGTGTGTGTGTGTGCATGTTTGCGTGTATGACAGAGATAGAGAGAGGAAATGCTATGCATGGCTACCTAGTGGCTTTGGGGTGCTGTTGTTGCAGCTTTAAGGTGGAGACGGATCACCATAGCAGCGGCCTGTAATTGCCCTATCTCTGTTCTACTCTCATGTTCCACATGCTAAGCCACCTAACACCATGGTGTTGGGAGCACAAATAGAACATAATTATTGCCTGCTTCTAACCCCCGCTGCTGACTCAGTGCAGATACAAGCCGGCTTTGCTAGCAAACCGTGTTGTATCTTGACAGGCTAAGCACAGCCATGTCTGTCAACATTTTATCAACTTCTTCGTTGCTTGAGTAACCTACCTTTAATTTAAATTCACTTGATAAAAGCTGTTGAATGTCAAATGCGGCTGTCTGATCGCTGAAATGCGTGAAACTTGAAGTAACAGCTACACAGCCTTTCGTGTTGTTTGTTTCTAAAACTGTTATAATTTACTTTTCTTTTATTTGCGCTTAAATTCTCTGATTCCACTAGCACCTTACCACACTATATCAAGAACATTCATTGAGTTTTTGTAATCATTGCTGTCTGATGATCGCCACAGGCGTGAAACTCTGAGTCACAGCCAACCCAAGCTCCGTATCCCATTCTATTCTTTTTTGTATACTTTTCTACTAAGTTCAGCATTTTAAAATAATGCTAGATATTTTGCTTGAGCAGAGTACAATAGGGGCTGCAACACCGTCGGATTGTGAAATGTCATGTTTTACTCCTAGTCTCTTCGTGTGTTGTCAGAATGCGGTGGTGTTCTACACACATTGTGAACGGTCACCAAATCACTAGTCAAATCACCAGTAGTAGTGCATTGTGCTGTGCTATTCTTTACATAATTATATCTTTATCTTTTCGGCGGCTTCTTCATAAGCTGTTGACCTGGTTGACGGAGACTCCCATGGGATTGTACAACAGCACGACTGTACGGTCCTAACTAATATTACACATGGTACAATATGGCCTATGCAGCCTCCAGCTTACATATCGCCACACGCTTTGTGCTAACATAATACTACTACTTACTAACATCACGTCATCCAAGAGTCCATAAGGGTTATGGACTCTTGGTACTACCAGTACTTACTAGGACTAGCCAAGAAACTAACACAGCCCCCCGCATACATGCACGGTTTTCCCGCACTGCTTTTTTTTAAAGCTTTTAAAAAAGCTATATTGGGATGCAACCAAATCAACGCCCAATGCATAGCACCACACCACAAAACCAGCAATATCTCTCCAGACATGTCATGGCCAACAGCATCTTGATGTTGCCTGATACTGCTATACTGATACTGCTATACTGATACTGGTGATAGCATGAAACTCTACAACAAACTAGCCTTGTTATGATCAACTATTAGTAGTATTACTCACAAGTACGACGGTAACGTCGTTGAACGGAAAATATCATCACGTGACCGATCACTTACAAGTACTAGTAGTAGTACTAGTATTAGTTACAAGTCCTTCGCAAGAAGATCAGAAGATGCAAGGCAAGGAGATTGTATACATATGTAGCTCCGGACATGGTGTGTCACCTGTACTGGCTGTAGAAGCGCAAAGAGGAAATCTGGCACAGTCAGTGCAGTAACACAGTGACTGAGTCACGTGAGTGCGAGAAGATTTTTACAGACAAGACTCAAGAGTGTTGACTGTTGTTGTTTGAATGAAACTATTTTTCACTTTGACAACTAATTACCTGGTTACAAATAATCAGAACCCAGCGTTTGCTCCGCTTCATTGTCACAAAGTTTGCTAGCGAGTCGCCATCGCTGTAATCATGTGTACACTGTTGAGCAGGCGAGCTGGATTGGGGCTGGTGACCTCGGGTCCTGTACTACTAGCGAGCAGGTGCATGAACCAGACGAGTGGAGGGTTCTTGCAACCCAATGACCCTAACTCTCCAGGAGGTTTGCCCAGATTCGCCGGGCACACGACAATGATGCGTCTGCCCACAATGGCACCTGGCGACGCAGCTGAAAAGCTCAATGCCTGTTTCCTGGGCGTCCCCATGGACTGGGGAACATGCAACCGTCCCGGTACACGTTATGGACCGAGGTACATTCGCTGTGAGTCGTCACTGCTGCGACCGTACAACACCAGCACTGGCGCGGCTCCATTTGAATCTCTGCAGGTCAGCATGAACAATAATAAAAATTATTCATCAGGCCAAACTAAAGAAGGTGTGTGGTTCGACTAACATGGACATTTTTTTTACGGGCGGGCGGGCGGATTTTTTTTTTTAATATATTTTTTAGTAAACAGTTTCCTCTGAGACAAAAATGCGATAATACTCATAAAAAGGACACACTTCAGGCTCATTACAAACATCTTGAAAGTTTTCGTCTTCACAAGTATACTTTCAAGCCTTCTCATCAGCTTTCTTTCTTTCTTTTTGCGCTGTTTTACCACCTTCTTACTGTATTTAATCCACTGTTCCTGTTCCTTTTCCCTTGCCTGTATTTCACCTGATGAGAAGGCTTGAAAGTATACTTGTGAAGACGAAAACTTTCAAGATGTTTGTAATGAGCCTGAAGTGTGTCCTTTTTATGAGTATTATCATATTTTTTAGTACATGTAAATACACTGTATACGCGTATCGAGTAGACTCTACTACCAGCACAAGGCAGCAGTCGTACCACTCACTGCACTGCACTGCAGTACAACTACAAGTCAAGTCCAAAAGGAGCCGCCTGCGTCCGCAGACTCACGCCCCACAGCACGTAGACGTGGACGTGTTCAGTCCACGTACGTCAGTCACACGACAGCCCACCGAAAAAAGTTACGGTCGGGCTGAAATTGTACGGTCGGTCGGGTGAGTCGAACCACACACCTTCTTTAGTTTGGCCTCATCAATTTTAGTAGCTCTTTACTGAAACGATCCCAGCCCACGACCGTGCTGCAGTGCTGTCGGTCTCCGAAGAGCAGCCTAGAATTTCACTAAGCACACAGCATATTGATATACAAACGGTGACTCAACTGTGCATAGACGCTATCGAGCACATGAAAAACAAGAACGGCCTAGGCTACGAGGCTGGCCCCATGCGGTTCTTCAGCGTCCGACAGTACTGTCAGCAAGCCGCTGTAACTTTACCCGTTATCAGAGTACACTCGTACACGTGTACCTCGTTTATCCGGGCGGTCCGGAACCGGACACTGCACGTAACTTCGAAACGTCTGTGACTCCGAATAACATACATTTGATGGGGAAAGGCCATAGATATGGCAGATGACGTCACTATTTCCACAAAAAGTGACAAAAGAGTAGTAATATTTCCACTGAAACTCGCCCAAAGCGTGCCCAATAGACGAAAGTGCCGGTAATTTGAGGGGTCCGGATAGCCGAGGTAACTTATGAGTGTACGTACTAGCGGAGATCCCGGCACTTTACCTGATGCCATCACTTAGTGGATCACTTGGGTAGCGCATGGATGCAGTGAATAGGATTCTCGATCGTTGACCACTTTGGTGGGTCTGATCTCCTCGCCTCCCACCGCTTTAGGAGCTGCATCTGCGCCTTGATCCTTGAGGGTGGTGGCGTTCCCACGGATGCGGAAAACGCGGCTTCCAGCCGAGTCTCACGCAAACTGTGAATTTTTTGGGTAGCCGAGGTCCAGCCCGGCAGCATGCAGCTGATATTCACGAGGTCCAGCCCGGCAGCATGCAGCTGACATTCACGAGGTCCAGCCCGGCAGCATGCAGCTGATATTCACGAGGTCCAGCCCGGCAGCATGCAGCTGATATTCACGAGGTCCAGCCCGGCAGCATGCAGCTGATATTCATCAGAAACCTGTCATGCTCCATGACAAAACCAGAACAAAACAAAATCCGGAGCAGCTGGCGGAAAGTGAGACATTCATATACAGGTAGAGGAGGCTTTCGACAGAGAACTCTGATACAAATCCTCCACTGACCCAGAAAACAGATGAGCCTTTTGCTCGTGTCTGTCCTGTAAGCAGGTGTGAAAGGTTTCTATGCTGCTTTGTCCACAACATTCCACGTACATGTTTGGCTCGTTCACCATGATGCTTCTGTTGTGCCATTTTTGGTGCGTAGGTGGCAGATATCGGCGATGTGCCGGTGAACCCATACAGCCTGCCGAAGTCCGTCGCTTGCATTGAAGACTTTGTCAGCGGACTAGGTAGCTGTAGGCCGTTGAGCATGGGCGGTGACCACACCGTCACGCTGCCAATACTCCGCGCTCTGGCCAAAGAGCATGGAAAGGTACTGTCAACACTGGGGATTGTTGGATATTTGGCACAAAACGAAGGTTTGGTAATTTTACTAATTTAACCTTTTTGCCTTCATGCAGTTATTTCATGAAAAAACCCACACACTCCAGCCTCAAATCAAGTAGTCTCCTCGCTGCAGATTACTAATATCTAAATCAAATTTTCGGCCAACAGGCATTATCAGGATCCTGATGATGGCTCCTGGCCGAAAATTTGATTGAGATATTGGGAATTTGCAGCGAAGAGACCACTTGATTTGAGGATGGTGTGTATGTAGGGTTTTTCATGTCTGAAGTGGCTGCAGTGGAGCTTGCTTCCCTTGAATAAATATCATGCGGTTGTTGTCAACTTTAAAATTGTAAAGGATACTTCTCGTTTGATAGCCTGTTGCATTCTCTGTTTCCAGATGGCTCTACTGCACATTGATGCACACTCTGACACCGAATCCAGCATGTTTGGAGAGGACGTGGCACACGGCACGACATTCTACCGGGCGTGCGTCGAGGGGCTGATTGACCCGACGCTGTCCACACAGATAGGACTGCGAGGCGGTGACTATGGTCCAGGTGACTATGACTGGACCAAAGAACAGGTCAGTGAATCTGAACTTGATGTCACTGTGCGCAGGGTGAGGGTTTGGTACATCTACCCGCGTTGGTATGTAAGCCTTGTTTGATAGATTAACCTCCGCCTTGTAACATGTTGTCAACCAATCTACCCGGGCTGTGTCACAAGTGCTGGACAGTCGTTCACGTCCGGCTATGGATCTTTGTAGGAGCTTTCATACTTGAAATAAGGACAGCGCTTTGTGTAAAGTATAAGGGCACTCTTGCAGCGCTTCTACGATGGCTAGCCTGCTTGTGAGCAACACTGCCAACCCACCTGGCCTGGTTGTGATTCAGTGACACGGTCCTGAACTTGGTTGTACGTACAGTAAAAACCTGTAACTAACGACCACCCCTTGGGGCCAGAGAAAGCGGTCTGGTGGCAGGTGGTCTTTAGTTAGAGGTTCACACCGCACAACCATTATATGAATGCGAGACCATCCGCTCCTGGCGCAGTGGTCTGTAGTACCGGGCTGGTCGCTAGTCACGGTGGTCTGTAGTACCGGGCTGGTCGCTAGTCACGGTGGTCTGTACTACCAGGCTGGTCGCTAGTCACGGTGGTCTGTAGTACCAGGCTGGTCGCTAGTCACGGTGGTCTGTAGTACCGGGCTGGTCGCTAGTCACGGTGGTCTGTAGTACCAGGCTGGTCGCTAGTCACGGTGGTCTGTAGTACCAGGCTGGTCGCTAGTCACGGTGGTCTGTAGTACCAGGCTGGTCACTAGTCATGGTGGTCTTTAGTACCAGGCTGGTCGCTAGTCACGGTGGTCTTTAGTACCAGGCTGGTCGCTAGTCACGGTGGTCTGTAGTACCGGGCTGGTCGCTAGTCACGGTGGTCTGTTTTTTTTTTTTTTTTTTTTTTTTTTTTCTACAAAATCCACATATCTCCAGACACTGGGGTGAATGATGGAGTGTGGTGGTGGGGCCCATTAAGCTCCGCCGACCAGAGGTCTCGGCTTCATAGCTCCATGGACGCACCAAAGGGATATTGGGTGGGGAGGATTAAATTGAAAAAGAAAACAGAAGAAAGAAAATGGAAAGATTGTATTGCTCAGTGAGCAAAAGAATAAGTTGGGTATTGATGTGAACGCTGTTAGACTTTTAAATTCAAGAGGAGACTGTCCGTGAGGACGGTGGTCTTTAGTACCAGGCTGGTCGCTAGTCACGGTGGTCTTTAGTACCAGGCTGGTCGCTAGTCACGGTGGTCTTTAGTACCAGGCTGGTCGCTAGTCACGGTGGTCTTTAGTACCAGGCTGGTCGCTAGTCACGGTGGTCTGTAGTACCGGGCTGGTCGCTAGTCACGGTGGTCTTTAGTACCAGGCTGGTCGCTAGTCACGGTGGTCTTTAGTACCAGGCTGGTCGCTAGTCACGGTGGTCTGTAGTACCGGGCTGGTCGCTAGTCACGGTGGTCTGTAGTACCAGGCTGGTCGCTAGTCACGGTGGTCTTTAGTACCAGGCTGGTCGCTAGTCACGGTGGTCTGTAGTACCAGGCTGGTCGCTAGTCACGGTGGTCTGTAGTACCAGGCTGGTCGCTAGTCACGGTGGTCTGTAGTACCGGGCTGGTCGCTAGTCACGGTGGTCTTTAGTACCAGGCTGGTCGCTAGTCACGGTGGTCTTTAGTACCAGGCTGGTCGCTAGTCACGGTGGTCTTTAGTACCAGGCTGGTCGCTAGTCACGGTGGTCTTTAGTACCAGGCTGGTCGCTAGTCACGGTGGTCTTTAGTACCAGGCTGGTCGCTAGTCACGGTGGTCTTTAGTACCAGGCTGGTCGCTAGTCACGGTGGTCTGTAGTACTGGGCTGGTCGCTAGTCACGGTGGTCTGTAGTACCAGGCTGGTCGCTAGTCACGGTGGTCTTTAGTACCAGGCTGGTCGCTAGTCACGGTGGTCTTTAGTACCAGGCTGGTCGCTAGTCACGGTGGTCTGTAGTACCAGGCTGGTCGCTAGTCACGGTGGTCTGTAGTACCGGGCTGGTCGCTAGTCACGGTGGTCTTTAGTACCAGGCTGGTCGCTAGTCACGGTGGTCTTTAGTACCAGGCTGGTCGCTAGTCACGGTGGTCTTTAGTACCAGGCTGGTCGCTAGTCACGGTGGTCTTTAGTACCAGGCTGGTCGCTAGTCACGGTGGTCTGTAGTACCGGGCTGGTCGCTAGTCACGGTGGTCTGTAGTACCGGGCTGGTCGCTAGTCACGGTGGTCTGTAGTACCAGGCTGGTCGCTAGTCACGGTGGTCTTTAGTACCAGGCTGGTCGCTAGTCACGGTGGTCTGTAGTACCGGGCTGGTCGCTAGTCACGGTGGTCTGTAGTACCAGGCTGGTCGCTAGTCACGGTGGTCTGTAGTACCAGGCTGGTCGCTAGTCACGGTGGTCTGTAGTACCAGGCTGGTCGCTAGTCACGGTGGTCTGTAGTACCAGGCTGGTCGCTAGTCACGGTGGTCTGTAGTACCAGGCTGGTCGCTAGTCACGGTGGTCTGTAGTACCAGGCTGGTTGCTAGTCACGGTGGTCTTTAGTACCGGGCTGGTCGCTAGTCACGGTGGTCTTTAGTACCAGGCTGGTCGCTAGTCACGGTGGTCTTTAGTACCAGGCTGGTCGCTAGTCACGGTGGTCTTTAGTACCAGGCTGGTCGCTAGTCACGGTGGTCTTTAGTACCAGGCTGGTCGCTAGTCACGGTGGTCTTTAGTACCAGGCTGGTCGCTAGTCACGGTGGTCTGTAGTTACAGGTTTCACTGTACTTCGAAGAACACCTTCAGGCTGATGTCGCGGCATTGTTGTGTGGCTGTATCTGTGCAGGGTTTCCACATGGTCTGGGCAACGGATTGCTGGTACAAGTCCATGGTACCGCTGATGGAGACGGTACGCACTCGTGTTGGCCAGCAACCTCTCTATATTTCGTTCGACATTGACGGCTTAGATCCGTCCATTGCACCTGGAACAGGTAGGTGTGTACAATGCAAGTGTGTTTATGCGTATCAACAGAGATTTCTGGTGAATGTGACGGCAACAACTGCAGTTCCCGTAAGATGTATCAGTTGGGAATATGGGCAGATTGGTCATTCCAACCAACACGTTACTTGGTCCGCGTCAGCAATATTGTCGCTTATCTTTCAGCTTTGTTTCCATATCGCCAATGCTCACTTGGCAGCCCATTTCATCCCAATTTTGGTTTAATAGTAGGTTGGTTTGCTAATACCTGAAAGATCTAGCTAGATTTCGAGTAGATTTCGAGAGCGACGGGTGGGTGATCCTGATTGGTACAGCGCCGCTTCGACATAGATTATCTTGTCACACTGCGCAGGCAAGAGCAGCGCGGCGCACAAGACAGTAATCGGCTACTCGGAATCAGTTCCATTTTGCAAAACGGCCGAGATCGCTCACCTCAGGGATCGCTCGCCAAGCTGAGATCGCAGTTCCCTCACCTCCAGCTCAACGCTCGGAGTATCCAGAGAATTGTGGAGACTTGCAAGTACTGTACGCGTCGTCGTCGTTCAAACTAAATCTTGCAAGAAGGGCAACTGATTTGAACCACACAGGCAGTCGTGCTGTCCACGCGAAGTCCTGTAGAGAAGGCGATCATCACGGTCGACTTCCCTTCAGAAAATAGCCAGGCAGCGGAGAGGAAGAGAGATGAGCTTGGGAAAGCGGGAAGTGTCGATCCCGAGCAAAACATATTTGTCACCAGCGCCGAGGAGGACCAAAAAAGTATGAACCCTTCCCTGGACAATAAATTCCTCATGGCCAGTTGTCATTCTGTACCTTACCTTCCATCATACCAAGTTCTGTCGTCTCAAGTGCACGCGTTGATGTCCAAAGTCTAAGTTCAAATTGTCGAAAGATAAGCGACAATATTGCTGACGCAGACCAAGTATATGGCTGGGAATGAAATGGGCACCTATTTCACATTGTGGCTAGGGCAGGATGGCGGTCTACTTGTTCATGTCACTCTGTCCTTCTGTTTGGTAACAGGAACACCAGAGATCGGTGGCCTAACTACTCCGCAAGCGCTTGAGATCATCCGAGGAGCACAGGGCTTGAATGTTGTGGGTTGTGATTTGGTTGAGGTAAGCCTATTGCTGCAACATCCCTCTTCCCTTCTTCTCTACACCATTCATCTGCCGTCTATTAGTTCTGTATGATCTGGATTTTCACTTTTGTAAGCTTGAAGGTTGCCCGCTACATTTGATCTGCAGTCAAACAAGCAACTGAGGAACCTCCTGCACTGAGCATTATTCGCGCTTACCATCCGTACATTGCCATAGCTACTTTGACGCCAGAAAACGCAATAATAATTATAGGTCCTTTATACTCTATACTTTTGTCCTGCTTCGACATGCAGGTTTCTCCTCCGTACGACGTGTCGAATATGACAGCGCTAACGGCCGCCAACCTCCTGTTTGAGATGCTGTGTGTGTTGCCAGGCGTCAAGTACCACAAGTAACTCGGAAGTGGTCGCTAATGGTCGAGTGGGACACACAGTCCATGCAGGATCATGCTCTCGACTGGAAGCTTTGGTGCCGGACCAGATTGTCAATATTTGTGCCGGTCGGACTGAGCGCCCATATCACTCAGTGAACGAGTTCACACGGTACAGCACTAGCAAAATGACAGTAGTATAGCCTCTCTTCCGGCCGGGCTAACTAGCCCTAATGGCTGGTCAAAGCACTTTTTACAGCCAGGAAGCTGATATCGAATGGCAGAACTACAATGTCATGTACTTGTGCAACGCCGTAGTCGCATGGCAGTTGACACTTCGCGGTACTCTCAGTGCATTCCTTGCACTGAATATCACTTGAGTGATGACTTCTCTTAAACTTATTGCAAGCTGGTTCTCTTGTTTGCCTCTCCCAACATGTACTGACAGTAGCTACAGTCCATTCATAAAAAGATGGACTTCTAGTTTTGGCCATAAAATATTGGGTTAAACTTTGAGGTTTTTTTAGAATTTTTTCTGCAATCCCCTATGAAATCCTCTTCCAATTATGTTTCTGAAGTGTATTTCTCCAAAAAGCAAGCCCTACCAAGAATAGGATTTCGGCCAGGTTTTGCCCCAAAAGCACTGGAAAACCATCAAAATCGAGGCCGTTTGACCCTGCCTGCAACAGTGCACTGTGCGGTTCGAACCCCAGCTCGGGTATGGACTGTAATGTATGCTACAACTTCGTGAGCTGCATCGGGCATGGTTGAAGAGCCCAATCCTGCTCTACAATTGTAGTCCCATCGATGTATCGGCATTTCGTCACAGAGTCCTTGACCGCACAATCTGACCTGAAATAAATTCACACGTGTACACACTACCATTATCCCTTTTCTTCTGACTTGTATGTTCTCGCCAAGACATACCGTACAATCTCGCGCATAAGCCCATGCTCGCGTATAAGCCCAGGCCAAGTTCGAACATCACGAAGCTTCATTCTACAAGCCCATGACATGGGCCTAGGTCGACCGGTCGTACCATGTACGTACTACATGTACATGAACGTTTTTTTTTGGTTTTTAGTGTTTGTTGTACATTTCAACACAATCGTCGGTTGTTTTTGTTTGCACAGTGATTTTCAGCAATGCACTTCTTATTCTCACTTCCTTGGTACTTTTCAATCTGAGCACTATTTTGGTGTCACCGTATACGCACGTGTCCGCGTCAAATGATTTTTTATTCTTCGGAAAACACTGAATTGAGGTAAATATACGTCATGCTAGACTAATGACTACGTGGAAGGTATTACCGGTGTAATGAGAGTTCACATAGCAGTAGCAATTCATCATGCATTGTGCTTCAAGTCTGTGTTCGAAACTTCATACAAGTAACAGTTTCTCCAACTGCAAGAATCGTGCTATATTGTAGGGAGAGTCGGCTACAGCTTGACTGACGGATGAAGACGACTGAAGGGCTGCAGAGTGGCGTCTCTGTGCTCTTCCTGGGCAGCTGAAAAGGAAGTGCATTGCATCCTCGACTACGCCAGGGCAGAAGACACAGTGAGGCGAGTCTGCAGCTCCAATGCGATGGAGGTAGCCATTCAGAAGACTACAGTGGTCGGTCATCAGCTGGTTCAGCTTGCAGGACGCTTTCCGTGTCCGAAGGTCGCCGAGCTTCTTGGTGTCGAGCAGTGGTGGCGGGTACCGTGTTGCCTTGCGGACTGCAGTCTTGGTGGCTTGCACTGGAAGACGGACGTGCCCCTGGGGGGGGGGGGGGGGGGGGGGGGGGGGGCGTACCAGCCGCAGCCGGGCGATCTACTTTGTCATTGAGGAGTAAGCCACAGTGACTGCTAACCCAGACAAGGTGGATGCTGCTAACAAGCTGGCTAATGCTCTTGATGGCCACAAACACAGGTACCACAAACACAGGTATCGTATCTGGGCTCATGCGGTACGGATCGCTGGCAACAGAATCAGTCAACGAACAACTGTCCGTAACGAGGATGAGGTCTGGTAGCGAGGGTTGATCGTCTGTGTTGGTGAGGCCACCCGAAAGTAGATCTCCTGCGACAGAGAGACTGGCTACTGCTGCGGCTACCTCGGCGGTGAAGGAAGTTGCTACCACGCCTGCAGGATCGCTGCCACTGTTCACTTCAGAGCGTTGGCCATCAGTGACTTTGATGACAAGATAGCCACTTCCTCCTGTACCCTCATCAGTGACACTACCATCTGTCCAGACCTCATATGACTGAGATTGAGCACAAAGAGAGGAAACCTTGCCCAGGCAGTCCAGGGCTGCAGACAACCGGACATGCGGGGGATCATCTCTGCTGCAGTCAGTGATGTGGATCATCAGGATCTCCACGTTTTCCCATGCATGGCGGTGGTCGCGAAGGCAGCGGGAGAAATTGCTGAGTAGGCAAAGTCTCCTGGGCTAACTGTTGCCCAGTGGTCTTGTCATGGCGTATGCGTTGGGGAACCTGAGTGGAGAGAACGGTGCGAGCAGGGGTTTGGGTGTTGTGACGATGAGCAATATCAGCCAGGCGTGTGATCTTTGTATGCAGGGACGGGGCGGGGCACCTGCAACCTCGTAGAGCTTGGTCAGTGGTGTAGAAGGCACACATCCTGTAGCGACGCGCAGGCACTGGTTGTAAGCTGTCTCCAACAGTCGTTTTCCACTGTTCGCTGTGAGGCCATAGTATGTGATAAGCCCATGTTATTGTATAGTAATAATAATAATGCACATTTCGCGTAGTAGAACACCAAAATAAAGAAATTCAGTGTTTTTTTCCGCTTCTGTCTTGTGAGCATCATCAACAAGGTATAGTAGCTGCTGCTGATACTGATTTCTCCTCGGGTGTCGAGCTGCATGTTCTTGTATAAGCCCACCGAAATGTCCTTGTGAAACAGAAAAGCCAGGGGGCTTATCCACAGGATTCTACTGTACCCATTATTGTGTGTTAACGGCAAACTCCCTTGCTCCTCTTTCCACATGCACCAGGCCCCATTTAAAATGATTTTAAATTGCGTCCACTCTCCCTTCCCATCTTTCATCGTTTTTTCTGACTCCTCGAGTCACGAAACTCGTAGTCCATGGATCCGACCGACTGGACACCCGGTCCGCTGCTTCATTTGCCTCTGTTTCTTGCTTTCTGCGGATTGTGGCTACTTCTTCCTCAGTCTGCCATCTACTTGTAGCCTCGCATCGCCTCAAATATCAAAACAGGAAAAAATGTGCACAACTTGCCACAAGCCTCGATCGAGTCAAGGCCAAGGCCGAAAAAACAAAAACAAAAACAAGGGCCTACAAAGGTCAGCGGCTTGTGGTCTGTCAGGACATGGAACGAACGGCCCTCCAAGTGATGCTGAAAATGCCGGATTGCGAGGTAGATACTTAGCAGCTCACGACCAAAGGTGTGATAGCGACACTGTGTGGGGCTCAGCTTCTTGGAGAAGAAAGCGATCGGTTGCCACTGACCAGAGACTTCCTGCTGCAGCACTGCACCAACACAGAAGTCAGAGGCGTCCACCATGATGTTGATTGGAGCATCCGGAGCAGGGTAGGAGAGAAGAGTGGCGTTGCAGAGGGCGGTCTTCACAGCTAGGAACGCTTGCTCGGCAGTGTCGGGCCAGCTGAACGAGGTGTCATGTTTCTTCCTACCACGCAGCAGGTCATCTAGCGGCTTCATGAGGTCGGCACAGTGAGGAATAAACCTTCGGTAAAAGTTCACCATGCCCACAAAGCGGCGCAACTGCTTGACGGAGGAAGGCGGCTTGAAATCACGCACGGCAGTGACTCGTTGTTCCAGAGGGAAGATTCCACTGCTGGTGATACGGTGGCCGAGAAACGTGATGGTTGAGACTGCAAACTGACACTTTGCGGGGTTGATGACCAAACCATTGTCGGCAAGGCGTTGGAGAACAGCTCAGCAATGGGTTCTGTGGGATTCCATGTCCCTGCTGGCAACGAGAATATCATCCATGTAGCCATTGCCACAATCCAGACCGCTTAGGACATCGTCCAAGAACCGTTGGAAGGTTTGAGCAGCATTGCGTAACCCAAATGGCATGCGAACAAACTCAAATAACCCAAATGGGGTAGTCACAGCTGTTTTGGGGACGTCCTCTGGTGCAACAGGTATCTGGTAGAATGCCTTGACCAAGTCCAGCTTCGTGAACACTGTGCATCCTTCCAGCGATGACGTAATGTCGTGGATATGAGGCACCGGGTATCTGTCCAGAACAGTAGCCTTGTTTAAAGCACGGTAGTCTCCGCATAGTCTCCAATCGCCATTCGGTTTTGGCACCATGTGGAGAGGAGTAGACCATTGCGACGAGGACGGACGAATAATGTCGGAGTTGAGCATGTGCTGAAATTCAGCTCTGGCTGTGCGAAGGCGGTCAGGTGCCAGGCGACGTGGCTTAGCATGCACTGGCTGGCCAGAAGTCACGATATGATGCGTCACCTGATGCTGACCAGGACGGTCAGGCTGAGTGCATGGTCGCATGACATCAGGAAATTCAGCGAGAATTGCGGCAAAGTCCGGATTGTCAGCAGTAGGCAGGACACACGTCGGATCGCTGGATGCTGTGGCTATGGCTGATATCGTTAAACTGGTACTGTCGTCCAGGAGACGGTTGCCATTCAAGTCGACCAAAAGGTTGAAATGTGCCAGGAAATCGGCACCAATGATTGGACGTTGAACATCTGCGACAATAAATACCCATTGGAACTGACGCCGAAGACCTAGATCCACCGTCATGGAACGCTGACCATATGATGGCATATGTGGCTATTCCACTACCATTAGCTGCTTGGAGCCGGTAGTCTGACTGGCGATGCCTTTCGAGAGGTGTTGGTGGCACAACACTCACCTCGGCACCAGTGTCGATTAGATAGGCAGATTGGGACAGGCGATCCTTGACATGTAGGCGGCGACCAGTTGAGCAGCCAGCAACACTAGTCGCCTCTAGGTGCTGGCGGGGGCGTTTCCCTGAAGATAGGCGCAGGGAGCAAAGCATCTGTTGGCCCGCGTGCCAAACTTCTTATGGTAACGGCAGATCTGATTGTCTGGTGTGCCAACTCTGTCTTGAGTGCCAATTTTGGCAGTAGCCGGTGAGTTGGAGCGAGACGAGCGCTGACCATGTTGAGTGAATGGCGGGCGACCACGTTGGGTTAAAGCATGGATGGTGCCAGACAACTCAGCCACTTGGGCGGAAAGGCTCTCCACAGCAGCATACAGTTCCATACTTGGCTCAACAGAGCTAACTGTCGGTGGACGGGCAACTTCGACAACCCGATCGGCCATCTCGGCTAAACTTCCAAATCCAAACTTCCAGGCGCAGAGGCAAGCACCATTTGCACATTGGGTGGCAATGGGCGAATCCCCACGGAGCTGGCGGAGGAGTTGCGATGGCTTTTTATCGCCAAGCTCCTCCTCAGTGAGCAATTGCCGCAAGCGCCGTTGCTCGGAGGACTGCGTCTGCTTGATGAGTTCAGAGCGCAAGGCAGTATATGGATTTGTTGGCGACCGGTTCATCAGCAGGTCCCGGACCTCAGCAGCAAACTCCGGGGCTAGTGAGGCAATCACGTGATCAAACTTCATGTCCTGCTGAGTTATCCCACGAATACGGAACAGAGATTCCGCTTGGCTAAACCAAACAATATTGGATCATTGGGCCAATATGGCGGTAAATTAAAGGTCACAGCTGAGACAACAGCAGGAGCTGAAGTTGCTTGTGGCAATACTATACTGCGAATCTAGGTTGAGGACTGGAAGCTGTGGTACATGTACCAGATGTCGTAGTTGGGGTTGACTGCAAACCCCCAGTGGGAGGAGTGCTACTCCGCAACTGTTGATTTGAGCGGCCTCTTCCGATAGGTGTTGTCGCCATCTTGGCCAATACTACCGGTAATACTGTGGTTAAATAGGTAAACTTAATTACTTACAATGATCTAAAAATACTCGACGGGGTCACCAACTTTGGCGTGCTCGATAGATTTGCACTGTATTATTAATACCCATATAAAAACCGCTCTGTGAGCGGTTCTGAAAAACCTCTACTGGTGCAGCCCCGTCGTAAAAGTAAGAAATTAGAACTGGCGCATTGTCCTCCCAAATGTGAACTGATCCACCTAAATCGCGATTGACGGGACCCGAACGCACCAGTAGCACGAGGTTCCTACCTGTGGATGCAGCTGGGGACGCTGGTCCATAGCCAAAGCCAAAGCGGCAAAGGTGGGCTTCGGGCCGGGGTAGATCTAAGTGTTGTATGGTAACTTGATCAGCGCCGACGCCGGCTGTGATCCTGTGCCCTCCCGACCTCGTGCTACTGGTGCGTTCGGGTCCCGTCAATCGCGATTTAGGTGGATCAGTTCACATTTGGGAGGACAATGCGCCAGTTCTAATTTCTTACTTTTACGACGGGGCTGCACCAGTAGAGGTTTTTCAGAACCGCTCACAGAGCGGTTTTTATATGGGTAATTTCAGTTCTTTTTCTGTTCCCTCCCCCACCCTAGCCCAGCTCCGAAGATAAACATGGTGAGCACACGCGCGATGCACTGTATGTAGCCATGCAACTGCAGTAGCACACTGATACATTCCAGCCCTCCCCACCTCGCTACCCCGCACACAGACACCTTGTGACAAACACGCACATGCACATGGCACACACACACATGGGCACGCACACACATACATACACACACACACACGACCCAAACAGGAAATTCTTGATGAACATTGTATAATGCCATGCAAAGCAGTGGCCACCATACTTCAGGAAGTCAGTTGTGAAACAAAAATAATTCAACTACAATGTGTAGGTAAGCTAGCAGCCAAAGCACAACATTGCAAACCGTGATGATATTTGCCTAAGGATTGCAGTTTGCAGACCACACCATGGAAGCAGTGAATACAGAATTATTGTAATGTCATACAAAGACGAGCAAAGAAGTGGCCACCATACACCAGAAACTTGCAGAAAGTCACATATCCAACAGATAGAGAAGTGAACAGCATCTGGTACAGCCCACACAAAACCAAGCTGACCTGATAATCGTCCGAAGATCGTAAGTGGCAGATCCTTTTCAACGATAGCATGCAGGTGTACGTTACACGCATGGACAAAATCTGACCGTGTCATCGGCATACATTGTCATCACATGCATACCCCACAGGTTACACACATGCACAGTAGAAGCACAATAAAAGCAATGGAAAAATATGAAGGGGTTGCTGAAGCATCTTCACACTTCAATTTCAGACTTCGATGTGGTCGTCACGGGGTGATATACCTGCAAGATACAAGTGATACAGAAAGAAAGCATAAGGTCGTGAGGTAGGCTATGAGACACCACAAATGGGTCACCTACATGTATGTTCAGGGCTGGTGTACACACACACGCAGAATTATCATAATCGAGAATTTCCCAAACTACAGAAGAGCAATGAAATCCATTTGCATGCACAGGAGCAATTTTGCAGTATGATGCGCAGCTCGGGAATACACCTGTTGGCAATGGATTACATTCCCATTGGAATTCCCATTCACGTGGGATTCACAGAAGCAATTTGGCAGTGTGCTGCGCAATGCGACACGACCTGCGATTCTGCGTGCGATGCAAACTCGCACAAAATACCATTCACAGAATCAGGACAAGACGTCAGCGATGCAACAGCGCCTTGCTGACGTGCCTCAAGTCAAACCTCAATGAGAATGCGTTTGTCGGTTACAACTGGTACAAATGTACAAGCAATTTCTGAAAATGCTCCTGTGAATCCTGCTTTTAATAAGCAGTGCAGGAATGTCCCTCCTCCGCTCCCCCCCCCCCTCCACACCCTCAGGGAACTTGACAAGGAAGGGTGGTCTTCGCGGTTCCCAACATCTATTTGCAGTTTCTGGTCTCCACTATGTCTTTTCAATGGGGATTTGTACATACCATAAAAGCAAGCCTAAAAAATGAACAGCACATTTGCCGTTCCCCCACTGGGGAGGATGCGTTCCAAAGCTATCCTGACAAGATACTCCGAGAAGCGGTGCTGAGTGCAATGCATTGTGAAACTGAAAAAGCTGACCAAGCCGGGGCATATAACGTCTAAACTTCAATTGTAGTTCGCCAGCTGACTACTTTCAGACTCCATGTAGGTTGGAGTACAGCTGGCTTAGAAGTTTGACAACGGCGCACGCACATAAGCAATGGCCACCTTACCTGTACTGTAGCAGTACTTCCGAGTTCCCGTATGGGAGTTCCCTCACTGTGTGTGCAATAGCAGCCTCATCGGACCAGTTCAATGCGACGCGGACAGTCCGACACTGAGGAGGACATTGAAGAAGTCAGAGACAGGAAGAATGGTTGATTTACAATTCAACTAGCAAGGCTGCACACCAACGAAGTTCCACTCACCATTGTGCCGTCCTTCTTGGAATGCAGAAATAACGCTTCCTCTCGAGAACGCAGCCTGTGACAGAGAAAAAGGAAGGTGCATCGCCATCGGCATTGGTCCTCTGCTATCACCGATTGCCGAGTTGCACAGTTCATTCTAACAAGACTGAGGATGTTCAAGAACTGGTAAGAGGAAAGGTCAGATTGCCTAGTTCCTAGGGCCTAGCATTCCTGGATGCCAGGATGTGCTGCCTCCCCCCCCCCCCCCTCCCTTCTACTGCCTGGAAAGGGCAACATATGTGACAGCGTTCACCAGTACAGTCGGAGGAGAACATGGGAGAAGGCAAAAAAAGGGCAACACACATGAATCCCTTATAAACAAGCAGTGGTAACTCTAGCACCAGCAATGTTGGACTTACATCCCAGCCATTGCCGCCGGATTCAGCGGCTTCTTCTTCTTCGTCTCCCATCTTGGAAGCACTCCTTCCCGTAAGTTCAGTCCTGGGATCGGGAGTACAGTCGGAGGAGGACGTCGGAAAAGGCAAAAAGGCAACACACATGATTCCCTTATAAGCAAGCAGTGGCTACTCTGGCACCAGCAATGTTGGACTTACATCCCAGCCATTGCCGCCGGATTCCCACGCTTCCTCTTCGTCGTCTTCCAGTTCCCAGGTTCCATCTTGCAAATACTCCTTCCCGTAAGTAAGTGCAGTCCTGGCCTGGGTGGATGCGCAGTACATTGACGATGGCGGAGATGGAGCAGGTCAGGGAGCCCTAGTATAGGGTCCCGAGAGCAGATTGTGGCCAAATTCGGGACGATGCCGGACGCCAGTCAGTATGAAGTAGCGAATTGCGGACCGCCACGTAGATTGGGGTCGCGGGGTCATAATCCATGGGCACTACTCGTACGTTGCTCCAAAAAAGGGCACTGCACTGTTCCACAGTTGCTGTTAGCGGTCGCCAAAGGCACTTGGTAGGCCGGTAATTGGGTCACGTGTCAACAAAGTGTCAACAACGTGTCAACAACGTGTCAACAACGTGTCGACCACGTGTCTTTAGCGGTACACTAATTTTGGTGTCCCCAAACTGAAAACATCGAGCACCAGTATGGAAAGGCTTTAGACAGAAAGCCTTTCCAATTAATTGAGGAGCAAGAAAAGTGTTACCAAACAGTATGAATGCCAAAGGAAAAGAGCAAAGAGAAAGAGAGAGAGAAGGAAAAAGCAATAAGGAGAGACAAATGCGTTTATGGAAATTCGTAGATACGGTACGGTCCGCACAGGGACGTATGTGAGCAGGTAGACACTGAACCTGGGAGACGTATACGATCGTATACGAATACGGGAGTGCATAAATAAACTCTACCGTAGACGTCTACGGGAAATGTGTACAAGTCAATCTGAGGTCATGCAAACCAAATGTACAACCATGACGAATAAGAAACCTTGTGAATGGACTCGACATTTGAATGAACAATAATTTTATTTGTGTAGCTGATCTAGCTCTTTTCACTGGCCTGGGGCAGCTCTGTGTAATCCAGGCACTCTCCTCTCTGGGGTATCTGGGCAGTAGGGTTTGCGGCAGCCTGATATCTGGATATTGGCCGGCGGAGTCGAGGGCAGACGCCGAGACTCATTGCCTCAAGCAACCCTGACAGCCCTGAGCAGGAGGTCATTGGAGTCTGTTTCAATGTTGAAGTCCGTGCTGTGGGGCATACCAGCAGTAGGATAGCAGCACGATAATGTTTGACTTGCATAGATTCCCAGCGTCTGCTTTCGGAATTTGCCTGGGCACGGCCGGTCAGTCCTCACTGTGGCATGCCCTCTCCGCACAGAATGTCACGACAGGACCTCTCGGGTTCTTGGTGTCAACCCCTCATCGTGGTTTGTCAATGGCATTCTGGATGATCAGCCTGACGCTTTTTGCCCTCTTCACTGCTCTATACGTAATCAAGGCCGTGTACAGATGGCGTGCTGTAGTATGGGAGTTCAAAAGTTCTATTCACGTCAACTTCTTCTTCATGCCTTTCCTGATCGTTATGGTAATGGGCGTATCAGCACCCACTCCCCCGTTTGAAACACCCAATATGCCCATAGCACTCTTCTACATCGTCATTGTGCTACTGCTGTGTCTAGAGTTGTGTGTGTACACGGAATGGATGTATGGTGTGTCGCGGACACTATCCTGGGCCAATCCAGCGTATCAACTCTCCATTGTAGGTAACATCATTGGTGCCGGTGTTGCCGCAAGCTTGGGAGATAAGTCTATGTCCGTATTTCTGTTTGCCATTGGCATCCTGTACCAACTCATGGCTCTGGTAGCTCTGCACACGACGCCGGACCTACGCGCATGGCTTGGCTCTGGTTTGCACAAACAGTCAGCAGCAGAGACCGATCGCGTTCGCGACGGTCAAAGGTGGATTGGTTCTCAACGAAATCTGTCGCGACGCACCACTGCGGCAAGTCTGGCATGTGCAACATCGCAGATTTCTCATCCATCTCATTTGCAGCTACGGACGACTGGCGAGGATGCCGGCTCGGCCGTATTTAATAATCGTCCTGTTTCTGCTGATAGTTCTGATTTAGTGATTGCCGCCAGCGCATCATCCATCGATATACAAGATACACCCAGTCTGCCTCCACTCCCTCAAGTTTATGATGACGTGGAGTCTGATGGGTCTACTACAGACGTTGAGAGAGCGCTGGACTTACTGTCCGTGGGGGAAGTGCACAGCAAGCAGCTGCTACCATGGTCGGTGAATACATGGTCGTTGCCTGCCAGTCTGCAGCCCACCCTGTTTCTGTACACTGCGCCACCGTCGCTGGCAGCCATTAGCTGGGCACATATGCAGGGCGGCGCGTTCGGCAAGGCCAGCTGCGACGAGTTCTGCCAGTCGCTAGCCTCCATTGGAATCTTCTTCTTTCTGGTCATGGTGGTGCATCTGCCGCGCTTTCTGTTCCGCACTCCCTTCTCCCTGGCGTTCTGGGCGTTCACTTTCCCCTCCTCGGCCTTGGCCATTGCCGTGGTGGAATTTGCCGTGGCAACCAACTCCATGTTTATGCATGGGTTTGCCTCCTTTCTGGTTTTCTTGTCGCCCACTATCTACTGCATCGTCTTGTTCGTAACAGTACTGCAGGTCTCGCGGAAAGGCTTTGATGTTATCCTGCTGCCAGCCCACGTGCCACGCTAAATTGAACCGGAGCATGCGCACAGGCCTCGGAAGCCTGAATGGAGAACTCTATTCTCTATTTTCACTCCTGTCTCCTGTGTCTTTTGGATCTCTTTTTTTCTTCTCAAATTTTTAAATATGTAAACAATGCTGGTGCAGCGTCAAAATCTCCTTTTCAAATGAAGTCGTGCTATGGAGATTTTTCACAGACTTACTCAAGTATACCATTCCTATTTCCGCTTAGTGATTTCCTATATTATAAACCAACAGCTGCTATTTATTATTGAGAAGACCGAGACGTGGTCAAAACTTTCCCTTTAGAATTTTTCCACTTTGAAACAATTGTTTCTAAGTACGTTGAAGCATGATCTACATGCACTTTATTATATTAGCACTCAACTTTTCTTGAAAATGTTAGAATATTTACAGTAGAATTGGTCCTCCAACCCAAGTTAGAATAATGGAATCATGTGATTTCATAGCCGATGTTGCCTTGTGTTTGCTTGGCGTGAAACTCAGAGTCGCAACACATCGTTCTGACTTCTGTGTTTGAAAACTCTGCTCCTTACAACTCTCTCCAGATGGGCACGCTTTTTCCCCTTTTCATTCCTGGACAGCTGGGCAAGGACCTCCGCTCTCGGCAGCAAGGACGCCGAGGGATGTGTGACCATCACATCAATAAAATGCGTCTTGCTGCCGAGACCAAGAAGCCCTTTGCACAGATATCCAAATGAGCATCTTGGTGCCCATGGGCAGTAGCAGCAGGCAGAATTTCACCGTCCAACGGGAGTAAAGTGGGCTCCAGTTGCATGTTCGGAATGGCAGCACCCATAGCCTCCACGCAACCAGGTCACCCATAAAGCATTGTGGGCAGAAGGTAGGATAACCCGACTGTTGGGTATGTCGCCACATGGTCAATGCTGAACACAGCACCAAGTGCACGCACACACACACACGCGAGCGCGCACACACTTCCTCGGAAGATCACGTAAGCGCCAGCCATAGCGAACCGTCAAAGCATCCGAGAACCATCCACCTTGTTCAAAACGAAGCCGTCGCTTGTTGATGGCTCAGCTATCAACCAGCTTGATACCCCTGCCGTGCTGGCAACATCCAGAAAAAAGCATCCTCTGCGAACAACTCACTTGGATCTTCAAATTTTCAATATCGGCCACGAGCAATACCGGCATTACCAGATTACTAGTAACGTTAGTCCCTGGTGCGGTGCACACAGAGCTATTTCGCCACCAAACCAATCACGAAAGGAGAGCAATTTTACTTCACAGTCCAGTTTGGGAATAGTCTCCAATTTGCAGAAGGCGATTTCAGATCGGACCTCATACAGCAACACCTCCCTCCACTAACACCGGAAGTTGTGATGTACAGTCATATCGAGCTGGATGGGAATGTTATTTTAAAAGCTGGGATGGCCAGTGGCTTCTCTCTCTCTCTTTCTATCTCTGTGTGACATCTAGTGACAATGTCACACAGTCCAGAGTCATCAGTTTGGTTTCATAGAAGCTGGATAGCAATGTCAGCATTGGTCCATTCAGTGGATGCTACTGCGGCAGGGTGCATTGACAGTTGAAACTCACCACATAGTCATTTGGAGTCAACTGCCAGATGCATTGGTGATGAGGGGCGGCGCGGGATGGATACTAAGTAATTAGTTGATGATCCTTGCGCCGGGCCTACGCTGGTCGACTGTGTTGGACTCAGTGTGCTGGTATCCCTCTGTTCGAGAGTAGAGTGTGACTGTCTAAGCAGTTAGTTCAGCTTCTGCGTGCTCCCCTTCTCGGCCTGATGCCGCCATTATGGATATCTTGGGTACTGTTGAATCTGAGGCTGCCCGCCTGTGTTTTGTGTCATAGATCCCCTGATCAATGCCAACTGACTACAACCAGTATCTACTATGGCTACGTGCAGTATCTAGCTGCTTCGGGATCTTGTCAGAAATGACGGAGCACCATAACCAATGAAAACGTTGCACACGGTTAACCATTGTACTGTATTACCAGTTGTTACAACGCAACACACACCATGCATGGTCCCCAGAACTTCCGCAGAAGCACATAATTATGTGACAGCAAAGGACGTAGCCGTAGGTGTGTGTTAGGTCATTGGCAGTTTGACAGCCTGACTGGAACATTGGTCCGTGGTGCCATACTGCAGCACATGCCGTTTGGAAACTTCAAAACTCATCTTCGGTAGACCTACGCATCACAGTGCACTGTTCCAGGGTGTTTCAAAACAAATCCGATCCCCAGGATGGCATGGCACTCTCCTTGTTGGAGCTTGCTATTTTCGTTCCCGACGTTCATTGCGTGAATCGGGAAGATCGTACAGGTGCTTTCCGACTTCTGGCGACACCTCGGAGTAGGTCGAGGATCCACGCCTGAGTGGACAGGACACCTCGCGTGCAGAGCTGCAGTTCATGCTATACCGGTTCGCTAGACGCATGGCCCGACTCGGAACAGAAATCTCCAACTACATAGTCGACAAGTACAAGACTAGTATTCAAACTGGGAGAACTAATTACTTCTAGAAGTAAAGATAGCGATCAACGCTACAGCAGACTGCAACCGCACTGGTCAGCTATCCAGAGCTTGACTTGAGCTAGCATAGGCTGCAAGGATTAGCAAGGAGTCGGCTTGAGTACGGTCGGCGCAGAGTAGTCGCTGGCAAACAGTGACTGTGCAGGCAGGTGGGGCAGTGCAGGCAGGTGAGTAGCGCTATCTGCAATGAGCCTGGCACCTCCATCCGCTTGCCTCTCATGGACAAACGCGGACGTGTGTGCCTGGGCCACGGCTGCTGGCCTCAGTCAGCAAATCCCAGGCTTGGCGGAAGGCCTACGTCGACATGGAGTAGCAGGAAAGGACCTGATGCAGCTGGATAACACATTCGCCCAGAACAAACTGCTTATTCGCGATGCAGCGAAGAGGAAGCTGCTTCTGGACGCCATAGTGATTCTGAGCAGGTCCGAAAACAGCCCAACGGCAACAGCAGGAGGCAACTCAACTGCTGCTGTTCCTATATCAACACCACCAGCTGGCCTATCGGTTTCAGTGCCCGATCCGTATTCATCGGTGAGCGGACAGCAGCGAATGGCGACTTCTCCCTCGGCCTCGAGTGGTGTTGGCAGTGGTGGATCTCACAGTGCGCCCACTTCTCGAGTTGCATCGCCGGTATCCACAACACAGTCCTCAAACATGGGTTCGGAGCCCATGATGGGCATTGCAGTGCGCGATCTGATGTCGGATGGTTGCTCGCATTCTGGATGGGTCAGGAAACTTGGTGGAAACGTACACAACTGTAAGGATCTCCTGCGCACTTCATTCAATCCGATCATGATTCAGTGCTGATTATGCTGGTATCCCCTGGCCTCTGGGAGGGCCTGGATCGAGAGACTGAATTTTAGGAGAATGCATGTGCCTGGGGTGCAGCGGAACAAAGCTATAATTAATTATCGATAGCGATGATTGTGCTAGTCCCCCCCGCGCCCGGCCATGCAGTGTGCCTTCACAATGACATTTGTGATTATGTGATGCATGGTCTGAATGGCTTTTGCTGATAACGACCGTTCCCTCCCCATGTCGTGACCGTGGGGTAGTACTAACGCCTTGACCCCTGGATAAAGTATCAATAGACATATCCTCTACCTCGAAGTAGTTAGGTACCGTATTGTTCCGGAGTACAAGCCACACATTGTGCACCAGTACTAGGCCCCCGTGTAATATGCCGGCATTTTTTTGAGCATTTTCGGTACAATCCGCGAACCCAGCACTTTGGGCTCGTGATGCAGCATTTTGGGGGGAAACGGAGCACTTGGCCGTTGTGTATCAAAATTGAGAGAAGAAAAACTTCCCAAACAAAAACGTCACTTCCGCATTCCGTGGGTTAGCTTCTTGTTGAGTAGTTTATGAATTGTTTACCATGGCAGACTCGAACAAGTCTCTTATTGAGTATTTTCTGACTCCCTGGTTTTGACGGCGTGTGCTGAGGATTACAAAAAAGTGAGCATTTTCCGAGCATTTTCGGCAAGGTTTACGAGAATTTCCCAAAGGCATTTTCGGCAAAGTTTCGGGCATATTACACCGGGGCCTAACCAGTACTTCACCCAAAAAACGGCGGTGCTGCTTATACTGCGATGATCAAATTAACGGTGATAAACAGGGTAGATCTACTTGAAGAAGTAGATGTCTGTATTTCGTGACAAAAAAGTCTGCGTGTACGCCAGTGCAGTGCGGCCTACACTCCCGAAAAGCAGGGTAGCTAGACTTACACCTTCTCATCACTGTAACCATGGTAACGTCGGAGTGCCTGGGTTATTCAATACAAGTGCTCTGTGCCAGCTGTGGGCCCCATAGGAAACCTGCCAACTCACATCAAAAACAGGCCATCGCTAGAAATCTACTTGATTTCACTGGGATCACGCGCATTGCACTTATGCAGCTGGTACATTACCTCAAGCCGATGATTCACCAGCTCCCTAAGAGGTGTTTGCATCCAACAACTCAAACAAATTCCCATGCCAGTTCAGCATGTGCAATGTGAACCAACCAGGCCATCCCTAATTTTAGCCGATACGCTGATTGTTGCGATTTTGACCTGCCGTCTCACACACTCTGTGCGTTTGTGAACTTACTTGTGACTGACAGGGAAGCGAAGATATATGGTGCTGAAGAAAGGGTGTATGTACTACTATAAGGATGACCATGCGTCTATTCCAAAGGGACAGTTTTCTCTCAACGATTACCGGTAAGAGCTGTCATCAGTATTGTGTTTTCAGAACTTTGATAGTCTTGTAGCCACTGTGGTCTAAGTCTGGCATGCAGTTTGGATACCTAAGCCATTATTCAGTGTAGATTTCCAATGTAGACTGGTGTCTTGGTCGCATCGGCTTACACCCAATGTACCTGATTTACAAGCTGTTGCACTTGCGACATTTTTGGCAGTGTTTGCAATGCGATACCCAGCGTTGTGTAAGTCAGTGGGATCCATATGGAAACCACTGCTTCCATGGCGGACCTGTTCCTGGGCTTTATTAACTCTGTCTGTGATGCTCACCAAGTGCAGTGATGTGATGCATTGTGATTTCCATCTGGCAGGATTGAGAGGACGCAAGTGCCAAAGTATCCGTGGTGTTTTAAACTCGTTCACTCGCATCCCAAGAAGCGCACATACGTTGTCAGCCCATCATCAGACATGGAGTTGCAGGTATAGTACTGTATGTACAGTGAAGGAAGGCTGTCCACGCTCATGGTCTTATACATGCATATCAAGAACCTGTTCTGAGGATGGGCGATTATCCCGAAGCGTCAATAATTCTTAGGTCTCAAAAACTAGTTCTAGATACTCAATGCATTGACTGTAAATTTGAGTGAGTAGCAGCCGACAAGAGTTCACCAGTCACCGTTTTGTTTTCATTAATGTTGCCCCTTTAAAATCCGGCATCATCCATAACTGTATGGTACAGATAATCTGTTATCAAATCTGATGTATTTGTTGCAGCCGTATGAATAGGACATTTGGTTACTGAAAGTTATGCTGGTTTAGTGAGTTGTTGAGGGTGCTGGTTCATAATGCGCTGGATTAAAGAGGGACGGTTGTACATGTAGATAGGAAACGAGTGCACTCTTAGCTTTGTCGCATCTTGGCTCTTTGTTCAGCAGCAGCACATCACACCAAGGTC